ACTGTTCAATGTCGCCGGGTGCAGCCATGCTCCTTTACTTTTCCTTTCAAAAGAATGAGACCAAAGGTGATGTTTTGTGGTATGTTAGCTTATTCGCTCTGTACACCTTCATTGAAAAGTATGTGATAAAAGTAGGCAGGCTTATCAATAAGAGATATTCCCTCTGCTCCGCGAATAGGGGCGTCATCCAAGCTGATGGTAAGAAATGTACCTTTTATTAACTTGAATATCTTAATTATGGGCATGATAAGAAATATCGTGGCATTGGAATGTAATTTCAGTTCATGGGCAGTTCATGTCTGACTTATGTAAACCCATATGTATCGATTAACCAAATAATATGATGCATATTTGCGTGCGGTATATGGCGGATACGACCTTGGTGGTAATGCATCTCGTTGAGCTTAGCATGCAAGGTCCCTATACCACCGTCGAGAACGTATACGCATACGCAACTATCTCTGTTCATACCGTGGCGCAAGAATATTGCAACACTCGTAGTGTGTCAGTCATCTCCACAGACTCAATCTTTCAGTTTACCAGGAGCTGCCATCGCACCTTTCCGACAGCCACGTGCCATTACTGCGCCACCTTAGGATAGTGGTGGCTTTTACGAGAGGCCATTCATTCCACTCTGCACCGCCGGATGATCCCATGTGTGGCTCGTGTAGCTGTGCAGAGACAAAGAAACGCGCTTTGAACATTATCTTTAGCCATAAGTCGAGTGTGTCCTTCCGACAGCATTGATCTGACCGGTTACCGTAGATTTACAGTAATTACAGGACCAGTGCCCTCATGATGCTCCTCTTTCGTTTGTTACTCTTCGCTTTTCCCTCTTCATGGGGAGCAACGGTGATTGAAAATATAGCTTCATACAAATAATGTCACGTAATAAACCTGAAATAACGGTTTGGGTGGGACTTTATTTATCGATTCGGTAACTTTTTTAGAGAAGCGCCGGACATGCTATATAGTTTGTATAACTTTTTCAGAGTTGCGTAGTTTTTTACACAATGTGAGTGCACATATCCTAAACTGATGTTTTGCTGAGGTTTAGGCAGGAACTGCGCACATCGTTGCAGAGATATTGACTTTTCTGAAAGATTCATCAAATTTAGGTCACCGTGATAACGTATTTTACAAAAGACTTTTGCTTTTTTATAAATCATTTCTCGGAATTCATGAAAGTGTTCTTTCTGGGACTTCGTGCGTTGCAGCAAGTTTGCGATGCTTTAATGTGTTAATTTTGTCATTATAAGCGTTCCAGGAGCATCGAATTTTTAAAGCTTCGAATTCGCAGAAGATGTGTATTACATGTGACTGGCGGCAAGGTTCGAAGGTACATATCTCAGAGGAAATTTCAGCTTCGGCGTACTTCAGCATTTAGGGATTCTGCGAAATATAAGAGACATTCAGCTAGCTGGTGCGTCAAGTCTGGGCCCAATTGCAGCTTAACCATTGTTGGAATCTCGACTTCTGAGATAAATTCAGGTATACGGTATATATATGTGCCGAAATTGTCTAAATCCTGAGAAGTGAGTGGACTAGAAAGTGGTAATACCTTAGATTAGTGTAAAGCTCAAGCTTTTAATTCATCTTGCCTGTGAAGCAGGACTCGAATTATAGTATAGAAAGCCGAGATAGTGGGTAATGAATTGTGAAATACGTGGCCAGACTCTGCAACAAGACGCGCTGTGTCCACGTGATTTTTGCGCCGTTTTACAATAGAATTCTATACTCACCGAAGAACGATCCTTGCTACACTTTTGGCTGATTGGTTGATATTTGGTGGCCACGATTTGGTCTGGTGAGAGTTTAGAAAATGACTGGAAGGTGACAGAGTCAACCGTCGTGGTAGATCAACCGATGAGCAGCGGTGGCAGCCCGGGCAAAACCAAACGGGGCCATGCGTAGCTATTTATAGACAAAGGCAGGATTTTTGTCTCGAAAGAATCACGAGTCTGGGTAGGAATAATTTTTGTGCGCTCTTTCGAATGTCAGCGACTTCGGTGGCGTGAATAGAACCGTAAACACGATTGTTAGTAGTGGTGAAGTCGCGTGAGGAGAGAGAGAAAGAAGAAAGATAAGAAAAACAGGCGGATAAGCAAGCACGCGAAAACAGGCGTGTTCACGGTTGTTATGTAGTTTAGAAATATGGAGTGCACGTCCCTGTACAACGCGCCGCGTTGCTTATAGTTGGCTTCTCGAATCCTTGCTGGCTGCGCACGCCGGTAGCACCTTTCGGCTTTTGTTAGAAATTCCTAAGACAGCGCTTTACGAGGCACGCGGGTGTGTCGTGCTCGCGAATATGCATTGACACCCGAGTAACGAATAACAGTGCCGGACGGAAGTACGTGAACTAGCCTTTTGCTTGGACACCGCGAAGTAATATTCTTACTTATCGCAAAACGTCTGTAATGCACCCTCGAAATGAGTGCACCCAGTGCAGCTCCTTCAGACAGGTACCCGTGAGCCTGTCTGAGAAACATTTCGGTGAGCCTGAGTGAGCCCGGCTTATTATGATTTCGGTGATTACGAGTCAGAGCGAGCCTACAGAACAAGTATACATATTCCCTAATGGACCTGAGGGACATTTCTTTATATTATGTGTGTGAGAGAGCGGACGTTTGACGTTCGCACAGGGCAGCCAACGTTTTAGTTCGCAGAGCCCCCGTCACGCTATGCTTAGCGTATGTAGTGCCGCATTGTTAAGCTCGAGTGCGTGGACTTGATTTTCGGCCGTAGTTTTGATGGGTCCGAAGTGCAGGAGCACCCGTTTTCTTGGATTTTGGGGTAGTTTAAATAACCAAGTGTGATCAAAATTAATCCATGCTCCCACCCTTCCCCAGGGATATGAACCTGTCGTCATAAAATTCTTGCAGAAGATCTGTCTTAAAAAAAAAAAAACACCTTCTATACGATTATCGCCTACTTATCCTATGGACATCCTGTAGAAAAAGAAACAAAAAGAGAAGAAATTGCACAGCCGGCACTATCGCGCAAGGCTCAGGCAAAAAAGAGATGGTCGGCATTAGCCTCTAGACCTGCCTTGACTAAGCATAAGTGCACGAAGCGTTGACGTGATCACGTTGTAAACACGACATAGCCTCTTCTGGAGGAGGCGCTGGCCATACAGATTAGCATCGTTATTTGTTAACCATGTCTCGGAGAAGCATACGACTGAAAATGTGTGATCGATTGCTGACAGGAAATGTATGAGGCCATTGTGATGCTTTCTGTGGCTTCGGATATTGAAATGATTCAATGATTAAACTGTAAGTTTATCCTTGAGAAATGTTTTAGTTTGCTGATATGACAGTACAGAGGAATCCATGGTTGTTCAAGATATCTTAGAGAAAACTATCTACTGAAAGATAGACAGATGACCTGCTTCGCGTAGACAAAAAACGTGGCTGTCATCACTTTTTCTGGCCTTTATAACGCCAGAATCTGTCCATAGATGCTTCCAATTTTTCGCCTTTTTTTTAGTTCCAAAGCCTGAACAAAGAATCTGTCGTTTACTGGGGTTAGGTGATCGTTCACAAACGAAGGTTTTTCCGTCTCTTTGCGAAAGCCAATGACACCGGTCGTAATTCATGCTTTCCGTGCTCTGGAAGCGAAGTCAGCTTTCTTTTTTTGCACAAAACTTCATTTTCGCACATATGGGTGCAAGGGGCCAAATATGAACACACGTATACGATGATAGAGTTTCCTAAAATTAACTAGAGGGGACTCTGTCGCTGCTATCGTTAAGCGACCATGGGAATGACGGGTAGTACACACATTTGCCTAGCCTTCGTACTTGCGGATTCGTTTATTGCTGGTTACGGTTTTTTTTTTGAAAAAAAGATTCAACCCTTTTGAACTTCGTGACCGGATTTGGAAAGGTAAGTCAAAAAAAAATCAGGTGATGAAGCGCAACCACTCAACATTTGCTGATTTTTGTTTTGTAACAAAACAGCTCCAAGCCACACGAACAGACACAGAACCAAAAGCAGGCCATAAGTACGAAGATTAGACAAATGTGTGTACTAACCATCATTCCCAAGCTCGCTGAAGCGCCCTGCGTTGCAGCTCCCATAGACACTAGCGCCAGAGTTCTTTCTAGTGTATATTAGGAAACTGTATGCGTATGATAACATAAGTAGGCGTACTCAGCCAAATCAAGTACGTGTATCTGCATTGCACATCTTACATCGCCAACTGTCTGTCAAATTTACGGAAACAGCTGTGCACGTGGAAGGCCGTTCTATTGATGGTATCACCGAACGTAAAATGATCGAAGTCGCTTTTGAAGCAACGATAGTCTGTGTTATGTATGTCGGGTGTGGAGAATATCGCATGCCATTGATTGACATGTTTTAACGACCGAAAGCCACCATATGATTATGAGAGACGACGCAGTGGAGGGCTCCGGAAGTTTCGACCACCTGGGGTTCTTTAACGTGCACCCAAATCTGAGCACACGGGCCTACAACATTTCCGCCTCCATTGGAAATGCAGCCGCCCCAGCCGGGTTTCGATCCCGCGACCTGCGGGTCAGCAGCCGAGTGCCTTAGCCACTAGACCACCGCTGCGGGGCGACACCTCGTGTGAAGGGAGACGGAAAGCCGTAATGAAGCCAGAAAACAAGCGCATATTTTATTTTTTTTTACAGTACGAAGCAGTTTACTTTTTCCATTCACTATATCGAACCCAGGATGGTGTCTTATTCACACTAAAGTAAATAAATAATTTTACAGGTGAGCAACATGACAACACTTGGGTGGCTAGTTCGTGATACGGTGATGTGCAAAAAAGAATATTAGTATGTGACATAACACGCGGGATAACACCCTTTGCTGCAAAACAACAAGCATGTGTCCGGAGGTGCATGCCGCTTGATGAAGACATGAGTGCTCGCACGATTATAACTATCTCGTGGGGACTACGTTTGTTATTCAACTAAGCTGCATTGCCCTCTAAAGTATTACGCAGCGATTTGTGAGAAAACGGTACCGCGAGTGCTGGGTGGAACACGCAGAAAGCGACGGTACTGGCAAGAATGCCCGTATACGGCGGCAGGGAATCTCGAACCGGAAGCCGATGCAGACGGGTGCCGTAGCCCACAATCCTTGCGAGCCACGATTTTGCAATCCACCGATTCATCACCTTAGTTACTCATTTATGCAATGTCATCAGCGAATAACAGTTTACTATAAGGTACTCGACATTAACTCTTATCCCTCACTCTTTTCAATATAGGAAATAGTTAGGGAAGGAAGTCCCTTGCCAGTTCTCATTTGATTAGGAGCACAGACAGAAATGTTTATGAAGTGGGGGCAGAGCAGGCAGATGGTCATTTTGCGCTGTGTATGCCATGAGAAAAAAAATACTCAGTGGTGGGAGGTGCACGGGACTGGTGTGCCACCTCCTGACTACGCCACTGCATTTTAGGGAGAAAGTTATATACATGTGCTGATACTTCCTGTTTTCAACCCACGTGAGCTCTCTCACAACTGAACGGGCAAGCTTTCCATACGCATAGCTTATAAACATTTGTTCGGCTTTAGTGGGGCTGCATTATGTTGAAGTGTGGAAACTATTGTAACGTGTTTAGATCGTTTACGACAGGGGTCACAAACACGTGATTCGTGTGCCACATGCGACCTGGCCCACACATAATGTCTTTGTTCCGTATCCCCCCCCTCCACCCCTATTAATTATGTCCATGACATACACAAATGCGACTGGTGTCGAGCACTTTTTTGCTTTCATGAGGCACCCCATACGGCTACCATGTGTGAAAACACAGACCGTATAGGAAAAAAAAAAAAAAGCTTTCTACCGCAGAACCCGCGTACTAGTTTGTCAACCTTGAGTTCAGTATCAGCATGTCTCGAAACGCCCCTTTAAAGGGACACTAAGGTCAAATAACAATTTACGTCAGAGTGAAAGCTCAATGTATGACAACATCTAAAACGACAATATTATCAATAACACTGCCTTACTTATTGAGAAATTAAGGTGAATGCACAAGAACACAGCGCCACAGTAGGACATTCTCTAAATGATCCCGATGGCAACAGATGGACCACCTACACTTAATCACTAGTAATAGATCTAGCTGCACTAAATAAAGATTCTTCCGTGCATCAAGAAATGAAATGAAATTCTGCTTGTTCGTTTCTGTTTGCAAACGCCTGCAATCTCGGAGCCAATGGCGAAAAATTGATGAAAGGCCGTTGTTGCTGCTGTGGCTCCCGCTACTTTCGGGCTGCTGCTACTAGCGCAGTAAAACCGGGCAACGTTGAGCACGGCAACAGTGACGTGAGACGGTCCTGTCGGTCCGCTTCTTGAGGCGAATTTGAAGTGCACTAACACGATGCGAACCACTAAAACGTGGTTTTATTTCAAAAGTGACCCTTCCTTCGCAGAAAAGTAACTCTACGAGGCTTCTTGACCGCCATTTCAACAATCAACTTCGACTTAATAGTTACCTTTAGTTGCTTTTAGCAAGTCAATTCCGACGTCCACCCATACAAAACTAGAACTGTGCACCGACAGCGGCAGCGCGGGCTTCACTGTTAAGTTGTTGTTCTTTTCAGATGGCAACTTCAGAAGACATTTTGTTTCAAACTCTCTATCCCCCCCCCCCCCCTCATTCCATTCTCGTTTACCATCCCGGCCTATTGAGAAACTTTCCCTTTCTAGCTGAGGCGAGTTTGAGATCTCTCTTCTACGGTGATACATTGTATCCTCAAAGTAAATAATATACACGTGCGCAGCTTCGTCGATTCTCGATTTTATTGCCAGACACCGGCGTTGCTGGAGAACGTGAGATGACGAGGACGCCTACAGGCTGCGGTGGCCGCTCATAATGGGCATCTCGTGGCAGTGGAAGGCCGCGTTCAACTCGCGCGTGTACGTTGATGTTCGGACCATGCTGCCGCTCTTGAAGAAGACGCCGTAGGGCTGTACAGACCTGCGCCAGAACAATCGGAATAAGTGCGAGGCGCCCTCACGCACGGATACGGCGAAGGAAGGCACATAGGCCTGGTTTTGCAGTTCCGTCCTGTCGCTCGCCTTAGCTCGTCTTATGAACCGTTTCTTAAACTATCGCGTATACCGCCCCGCCCTGATTGGCATTATAGACTCCCACCAATTACGTCAAATAAAATGCGCAGCATTTTTTTCACCCTCCGACAACGTCAAGCGAGAGGTTGTGGTGATGTTCTCACTTAGCCGTCTCTCAAGGTGCTTACCCAGCGGGAGTGGGTCTCAGGAATCGCGTGGAGCCCGGAAGTTCCACGGCGAGCTCGCAGCTCGTGAGTGGAATCGCCAGTGGATTTTTCATGGACACGTTGTAGTGGAGCTCTCCGTTCCGGCCTATGGGCGTCACCTGTCGAAAGAGAGAGGAAATTCTTACGGTGCAGAAAGAAATATGAAAAATGAGCTCCTTGAATGCCGTTAGTGTGACGTAGTATCCTTGTTTGTGAAGACGTTACGCAGACTCGGATCATCAGTAATTCTACCCTCCTGCTGAGCTTTATCGATATATGGAATTGAACTGAAACAGAAATATGGTAATAAACGTCAGAAAACTTATCAGTTACACTCAGCCATGCACTCGTATACGTAGTTATTCGCAGATATGGTAGGGTAAACCAGTTATCCTGCTTTTAGCTTTACGCAGCAAGAAGTGTACAATATTTTGTTTGTGGGTGAAATTTTGCACGTTTAATGAGAGAGTTAAATTTGAACCCTGTAGTTTTTCTCACTTGCTTTTGCTAGACTACAAAATTTCAGACTAGTGCTCAAACTGAATGAACCTTTTTTTCAAAAACCGAAAACTGTATGACCGAGATATTTGGCATGCTAATTTAACATTATATTGATAATAATACGAACCTATAAAAATGTCTCCTATTAATATATGTTTTTTTAAAACTCCAACCTGCACAGTTTTTCAAAGATTTCGATTCCGACTATATGGTAGGGACTTAAGTAAAATTTAAAAAGGTTTTAGCGCGGTCGGTCAGATAGCTTTTCTGAAAAGGTGCATGAGGTTTGGAAATTGGTTAATAAACATCGCGCAAAAACGTGGATTAATGTTTGAAGACGTCCGTGGAACGTGCTCGCAACGTGCAGCAATAATTATGCTAAAAGTGAATTTTGGTGAAAAAATTTGCGTACAGAAAGTGTAAAAATGCTAGGAAGTGAGTGTGTTCAATCGATATAGCGATGTTAACATGAACAAATGCACACATGCATAAACAATGGCGGAAAAGAGCCCGCGTTGCCGTCAGGAGGTGTGGTCTGTGGGGCCATTTTTAAAGGGCTTTACAGATATATGGGATACGGCAACTTTGATGAGCCACTTTGATGAGTAACTTGGTATCCGGGGTGTAAGTGAGTGTTGGTCGGGACCTACAGTAAGATTAAGAAAAAAACACACATATGAGCCATCTATGTCAATAGGTGGAATAGGGGCGGGGTATAGAATTGAGTCATGGAAAGTTTGAGTGAGCGCCACAGTGATACTGTGGAGCTCCCTCAAGCTCACTCACGAAATATATTTTGCTCTTTAGACTGACCTACACTCGGACTCAACAAAATTTTTTTCCGTTGGACTCACTCATGAAAATTTTTGTCAGCCGGAGTCACTGGGACTCAAACTCATTAAAATATTGCCCATCCGGACTCACTAAGACACCGGTCGATCTGATTCTGAGCGACTTCGAGTTCATGAGTGAGTTCGCCGACCTAAGCAAGGGAGTCAGCAAACGCTACTGGTATCCCGTGAAAAATTACATGTGGCAGCTCATACACTTTGTAGTAAGTCATTTGAACGACTTGTAAGCTGAAGCTGCATTTGAAGTCAATTCAACGTCAAGCCATTTCTGCTTCACTTTCACTTTGAACAGTTGGCTTGTGCCGTAGGGTGCATCTCAGTGTTGGTAACCGAAAGCTCAGAATGACTTGGCCTTGAGTATACAGGTTTAATTGTCATCGAAGCCGAGGAGACCCATATATTAGAGAAAAATGAATATCCCACATAATTTAAACTGCCACTGCAACAGACCATATATGATGCGGCTACGTAAGTGCGATGATTAACGCGCTTTTAGTGTGTTTAACGAAGATGCGCTTGGCCACAGGTGAAGCATGAAGGTTATTTTGCAAGCATAATGAAATTTTAGTTCCATATTGGTATACAGTATGTTTTTGTTATTAGACATGCAACTGTGCGAGTGATGAAAATGCCTTCCTAACGCTTATCACCACACCTTTGTCCAGCAAAGAAGATTATTCTCAGTCAGCCTTCAATTTTCGCCGTTAAGCTGCCGTCGATTGCAGTGTTACAGCAAGCAAAAAAATTATCAGGCCACTAGTTCCTGCCATAACACTGCTAAACTATAACGCTAAAGCGTTATAGTTTAAATAACTCGCTTTGAAAACTTGTGCATGGAATAGGCTAGTATCAGGCTTGTAGATTATAAAAAAACGTCGGAGGAAAAATCTAGGTTCGAAGATATTTCACAGGTCCATAAAGAGGTGCGTTAATCCTGACTCAGCTACGACGCATCTGAATAGGAGTGACGCGCAAAACATGACTGATTGAGTGTTTAGTGAACTGAGATCATTGTAACACTGACCTCACTGAGAAATTCTGAAATTAGGTAGACGAGTACATTTATATAGACCAAACATTACTGATTTCCATTTCAGAGCTTTTCATTAGTATTGCTAAAGTAAAAAAAAAAATGATGGCTTTGAAGTTTGAAAGGTTAGTTTTGAAAACGTAAACGAGGTTGTGTCTATTTAAACATCGCCAACGCAGATGGTGGGAAGTTCTGTTTTCGCGCACTTTGGTTTGCATTTTCCTTATTCCTACATAAATTTTGAATTAAAAAGAAAGAATGCATTATTCCTTTGCTTTTGTTAGCGTCATTGTCCATTGGCTTTACGGCATTGCAAACAAGTGATTATATCGAGTCCTACTCTTCAAATCCCGGTATTTACTCTAACTTATAGCTATGCGATTTGTCAACAATATGCTTATTATAGTGTAATTAGATACGTTTCGTAGAATGATTACAAGTGTGAAAGCAACGTATACCTTTACATTATTGTGTACTTGCCTTATGGTTGCAGAAATATTGCTAAAGTCCGATTTTCAAAATTTTTTGTATTGATTGATTGATTATTATGCAGAGTTTAACGTCCCAAAACCACCATATGATTATGAGAGACGCCGTAGTGGAGGGGTTCGGAAATTTCGACCACCTGGGGTTCTTATACGTGCAGCCGAATCTGAGCACACGGGCCTACAGCAATTTCACCTTCATCGAAAATGCAGGCGCCGCAGCCGGGATTCGATCCCGTGACCTGCGGGTCAGCAGCCGTGTACCTTAGCAACTAGATCACCGCGGTGGGGCATTTTTTTTTTTATAGACGACGCGTAATTAAGTTAAGCTGACCAGATTTTGACGTTCGACAAAGTGGGCGCTACATTACTCTTGTTGTGGAATTTACGGGGCTGTTGAAATGCTTGAAATAAACGGGAGTGCGAGTTTTGAGAAATATATAGTAGAATATTCAAGATCGATCAATGAACTTTGCATCATGAATCTCGTAAAGTTTATGTTTACTTTTGTTGAAGAAATAAACAAAGACACTGGGATAAAAAAAGCAACTCTTGTCTACGCTTCAAGACTAGAATCGCAAGAGAGACCGATTGAAATTTATGCATGAGCTTCTGATAGCTTAGTGAAGGACTTACGTCAATGTTGAGCTTAGGTATCTGTATGGTGATGAGGCTCCTTGCGTAGGCCAATTCATTGCTGTATTTGAGGTTTGCCTCGATGGTGATCATGCCCTCGTCGTAGATCTTCTTGATGTAGTCTTGTGGTTGGGCGGCCACCTGGAACGTTTGATCTGCAGATAGAGGCGGGGAGCGGAGGTGCATCCTTATTCGAATGCGGATACTCGAAGATTACACCTGGCCATCTCAAAGATGCGCTAATCAATATGGGTTTGATGTGGAAACGCAACGCTTGTATCTTTTGCCTAGCTTGTTCCGTCGAGTAAGGTGGCAAGGTGGGCATGTTGGTACGGCATACTTGAATAACAATGGCAGCGCAAGGCAAACACTTCCTACAAATGGTTTGTTTTTTGGGCACCACGTGGTTCTTACACTCTTTCTGGCACACGGCTGCAACTAACACGCGTGCAAATACATGCAATTTTTCGCCAACATTCTTTTTGCGTTTTGTGTTTCACCGATAACGATGCAAGTGAACCGTATCGCACTATGAAAAACGCAATTCATTTGTCGCACCTTTCAGCTCATGCGCAGGTATTGTAACTCCATTTCTGAAAGCGCAATCGACGCACTGCTCACGCAGGCTGTCACTAATGCACCTACTCTTCTACCCCTCTTTCCACTACTTAACAGAATCTCGTATACAACGTCGGTACAACCATCCGCGTATCTGTTTGTGTGCTGTTTTGCACATTTATGTTTCGTCACTCGTGTATCGCTGAGTGTCTCTCCGTGTTCTTGTGTCACGTTACGTCACACTACGATAGCTATTCGATCTAGCTTCATCACCTCACCGATGACTCGTTATCTTTTACCGATACGGCCGAAGACCAGGGTTCGATTACACATAACTTTTATTTTGTAGTCTGTACAGTTAGTTGGATACGACATCTCTAATGACATGTCGAGCATTGCCTGAAAATTTTGTTTCACGAATAATTCCAGGAAGATACTTTTTTTCTCCATGGCATACGGGACCCAAAGAATGTCCCTACATTCCTAAGGCTTTCGACGGCTGCAGTCATTCGTCATAGCTTGTCTTTAGGCTTTTGTATCAAAGAATCCTTGTGTTGGAGGTTTCACGAATCTTACTTATATATTATAAATGACGTGTGTGAAATACAAAGTTTGATCACACTAGACTCTGACTCAGTAGGGAGACTTGTTGGGCTAGTTGTTTCATTCTTTACGTTGTTAATGGCGCGAAAAAAAAAACACGAGAGAAGGAAAACGCCTGACTCAAACACGTGCCGAAATTATGAAACCGTGCGAAGGCCTGTATTTATTTATTTATTTATTTATTTATTTATTTATTTATTTATTTATTTATTTATTTATTTATGTATTTATTTATTTATTGTACCGACAGGGCCTGAGAGCATTACAGACGGGAGTGGAGATACATGTATATAATATAAACAGGAAGGCACATCGAAAAAAGAAGGCAAAAGCACAGAGTTGCGGGGACAAACTCACCTCAACACAAAAATTGCACCGAAAATACACGAGAACAACTTTAACAGTAAGGGAGAAACAGTAACACACATATATCACCATTCAGAGAAGCACAATGATAATACGTAACATATTCTCATCCGTTAAATCAGCGAAGTAAGAGAACACAGTTTCAAGAGATACATATATAGGTAATGTGGTAAGTAGGAGGTTCATTTGAATTGCAAGAGATGTGTATGTGCTTGCACTGATTAATGTTTAGTTTAATGTTATAAGTTTCACACCAATTCCGAACCTTGCTAATGTTGAAGGCAACAGACAATTAATCGAACAAGGAATGCTAGTAGGTAAGTCATTTATTCAGATGGGAAAGAGGAGGGGCCCAAGAAGGGATACCAGGGGCACGCGAGTGCTGTAGGCAAATGGTGTGAATAGAAGTTCACTTTGATTTAATTGTGGTACTCCAATGAAACATCTACGTGATGTTTTTTTAGAACACAGATTTTTTATGCAGCTACTATATAGGTCAACTTCCAGCCGTCTTCGCACACAAATTTAATGTCGAGGCGGAAATACTCTGCCGCAGCTAAAGAAACACTGAAGGAATTGTCTTGTAAAAACTAATTATCGAACTTTTTTAATTTTTCAGTTACATTCAATAGTTTCATGGGAAAGTTGCATATAATCAATATTTTTATAAATTGTGAAAGTTTCACGTAATTTGAGATATTCATCAGCGAATTCTACTGGCGATGTTGAAACCGACAGCGCCCGGCGCACAGGAGACCAGACCACTGCAGTGTTAAGCCAGTCACGAAGTACTAGGGATAAGGTAGTGAATAAATTTAAATGAAAGGGTGTCACGCAGATATCTTGTCGTGTAAAGTTACGAGCCATGTCACGTGCACCGGTGGATCGTCTTACCACCGCATGTGCTTTCAAGCGATGTGCGAGAAAACTGCAGCGCCCACCTTTTCTTTCTCTGTACAGCGTCAATTTTTATGAACAGGGAACACGAAAGCGCGTGGCCTGCGACCTCCGGCGGCTGCTGGCAGCGCATTCAAGCGGGAGCGAGAGCAACCACAGTTTTTTTTCGCATCATCTCGCGGCGACAAGAACAACCACTCGTTCCTGATATGGAACCAGCGGCAACATTGCGACCCCCTTCAGGGCGATTACGCGAGAGCTGGTAATCGTCTTGCCGTTCTATATCAGCAACGAATGGTTGGTTCGCTCTCTGCGAGATGAATAAGAATAAGTGGCCGACTTGTGTATTTCCGACGACTTGCTGTTTTTTTCTGACCATATTCTGCTTCTTTGCGCCTTGATTCGAATTTTTCTTTACTGGTGGTTCCGGTGTGACGTAGTTCAGCAGCGTCATTTGCTGCGAACCCGGAGGCATCGATTTCAATATTGCCATTAAAATTAGATGATGAATATCAAAAGCTACTCGCGAGCCTTGTGACCTCTAGAAAGAAGTATGCTTTAACTTGGTATTGCCTACAACCTAATTATATAAGCAACTGCAATACAGTCAATATTTTAAGGTAATTAATGAGTTATCCGTTAATCACTCATTTCAATCATACTTTACTCGCAGTGTGGATTTGAAATTAGTGCGTGAAAATGACAGTAGTCTAACAGTGTTTCTTAAAATCAGTAACGTAAAAAAAAATGCCCCCACACCTCCAAAGGGAATTGTGAGGAAATGCGAATGCGTTGCGCAGTGTCCATAACGGCATTTCACACGTGAGAACCCAGCGTTAGAAGAATGTTTTCTTTTTTTTCTTACACCGTGCAGCCAATAACGCCGTTCGCTGCACGTGGCGTATTTCTGTCACGAGAAACGCGGTATGCGTTCCCAGCTCTATAGCTAGCGCGCACGGTAAAAAAAAAAAATCTACACAAACGCTGACAGCACAAACACTACAAACGCGTTTTGAACGCACTGCATTCAGGCGCTGGAAAGTCATGCTCAAGTCAAGAAGGTGGGGGCTCTGGTTGCTAGGGGTGAGGATAAGCGCACGCGAGGATAAGCTGCGGACATAGATAAGCGCGCGCACCCACAGATGTTGCTAACAGCTGCCGACGCCGAAGCGTGACATGGTCGGGACTCTGGTCGCTAGGAACGCGCGCGCCCGCAGCTGTTGCTATGGGAGAGGGTGGTGGACGGATCCCGACGGATGCCTGACATAGCCCAACTAACAAATGTATTCGCATTTAAAAAACTTATATTATTTACTACACTCTGCACCTAACGAAATGCTATCAAGTGCACATCTCAAACTGAGCGCTACAATTTGAAGTACTGTATTTCTTTGAGTATTGCCCTGAGACACATAGCAGAAAAAAACATATTGGAAGCTTTTTTGTGTGTTTGAACGTCACTGATATGCACAGTCAGTGTAAAAAAATTAGCGACCATGAGGTAGAAGAAAAAGCTTAATATTCCCGCAGCGTAAAATTTAGAGTTCCGGCTTGTTCTAAATCGCGATAACTTCTGGAAACAACTATAGTAAAATTGATGGAAATTTCATTTACTTGGTTCTAGTGGTGTCTACATTGGGCACCGACTTGTATGTATGTATGTATGTATGTATGTATGTATGTATGTATGTATGTATGTATGTATGTATGTATGTATGTATGTATGTATGTATGTATGTATGTATGTATGTATGTATGTATGTATGTATGTATGTATGTATGTATGTGGGGTGTATTTCCTGTCCAGAAAAGGTGCGCAATGATAGTGGAACGTGCTCGCTAAAGCAACCGAGCCGCTTACCGCCACGTGCCGGCATGGAGATGTTGTGCACCTTGGTTGAGATCGTCCGAGGGAATCGGTTGTTGTACGTTGCCGATGTGACGGTGATCGTGAGCTGGGCCGTCAACGGTTTCTCCTGGTTGTTGAGGACGATGCAGGCGGCGGTGATGGGCTGGCCCAGCGGCACTGACTTTTCGTGCTGCAGCTTTACTTTCACCAGTTCCTCCTTGGCGTGGCGTGCCATGGGCATGGCTGTGGGAATGGAGCGGTCGTTAGTATCTCCGTGGTATCACTGCTTTCCAGGGGCACGTCGGCCTACAGACCACAGGATAGGTCAGCAACGCGAACGCAGGCTGTTGGCAGCCCCGACTTTCGCACGCAGTTCAGTTTTTGCATTTCGCATTATTAGCATGTGCAAGGTTTCGCAACCCTTGAGTCACACCTATAACTTCCAGTAAAGTTCAGGAAGCCAAAAGACAGAGACATTTAACTACATCACCGTAGGAAGGTTTGTGGTACGTCGGCAACTTGCGAGCAGTGGATTTGTTGCTGTCGATTAAAACGAGTTTTATGAATAAGGAAACGGGGAGCCTGCCTGTTGTTTGTGATTATGGAAGCCGTGGGCTATTAGCAGTTAAAAGAAATTTTGGGGGGGCCTAGTTGGCGTATACTGACGAGAATTACTTAACGCAAGGAAAAAAAAATGCCCCCCACAAGGACACACAAGGGGCACACAAACGCCCGTGTAGGTTCCTTGTGTCTCTTTCTTGTGTGCTGCGCTTTTTTTTTTACGCTAAGTAATTCTCGGCGACCAGTAATACTTCTGTAAGCACGATACATACGAGTCAGTGATCAGCGCGGAGGAGCAATCGTCTTAATAAACGCAGTATAGATGAGTTTTCTGGATGGAGCCCATGCAGTGCGCACGACCACGTTGTATAGTTACAGTCGTTGCGCAGTTCTGCTAATGTATGAACTTGCGAGCCTGGCTTCGAAAACCGACCAATGCGACATTCTGAATGCGAGTGAGTATAGAATAGATCAAGAAATCGCACCTTTTCGGGCGGACATCAGTGTGTTCTCACGCTATTGCAATCGGCAAACATGTATAACGAGAAGTGCGAGGGGACCTGGGGGGAAACTTTAGCTGACTTTAAGCGATTTTTTTTTTTTTGTACTGTGATAGCACTTATATGGACACCCCAGGCCTATTTTTGCCGTCGGCGTTGCCGTGAGATTCCGTGTAAAGTTCAAGGGCGTTCACGTTGCCCCACGCGTCGTGTTTTATGTGCGAGTGAAAGCGTGCGACAGCAGCCGACAATCGCGGCACAAGCGGAGTGGGCACGCACCGGCTGAGGGCATAACGACTATGGGGTGTCCCGGGGGGAAGGGGCACGTTGCCCCGGTAGGAGCTGCGTACTTTGAAAAGTCCTGTCTTTATAGGGACAGGCAGATGGCTCATCCATTTGTACGTGCTGTTTGCGCATTGAAGCCATGGCCAACACGAAGGTCGCGTCGATGGCTGCAGTGGTCCTCGTGCCAGCGTTTTGTTAAGTTGCCCCAGGTCGGGTAATTAAAGTGTGAGGTCTTAGCCTTACTTTCAATGACACGTGAACTTATTGCTATTGCTTTCACTGAGGCGCCCTTGCGGGAAAACTTATGCTTATTCGGGCGGAATATACTGAATATCGATTTCGTACAGCCTGACAACTTGGTATATTTCTTTTGTTCCAAATTGCTGGTGAATAATGCGACAGACCGCAGATTTGCGTAAACTTATTTGTATACAACTAGACTCACTGAAAAGGCGACTTTTAGTACATGCGTTTAGTTCCGATGCGAAACATCGCTTGTTTTATTCGCTTTGATCTCGCCTCTGTTCGTTAATAGGTTGCGCACTATAATCTATGCTGCTAATGGTGTCGCCTCAGGAGTTCTTAAGAAGCAAGTTCTCGGTGGGCCAAATGTCCCTTATTCCAGGGTACACGGACGCCTGTACCGTCACTGCAGCTCCCATTGACGAAAATGAAAGATAATTCCCGTAACTCTTTTTAGCCCGTCCTTACTTGTCATATAAAACTCTATTTCGGCATACATGTCAACTCTCTTTTGGAGAGTCTCACCTTCCACGGATCTTTGAAGAGAGCGCAACTATCTCCAAGGAGAGTTAACATCTATCTTGAAAGATAGTTGTGTGTGTGTGACAATTGAGGACTGACCAAAAGTGACAGGTAAATTTTTTTAAGTGCAGCCAGAGGTACATGTTAGGCCTTATATACTATTAGGTGACAGCTTCATCTAATTTATTAAATGGTCTTGGCTGCCACAACGTGCGACAAATCGGTAATGCATTTTCGGTGCGGAAAAGAACGCATAATTGCTTCGTCGTACATTTATTGTTTGTGATGTTAAAGCGTCCGTGCATCAGATTCATTCGCGCTGTTTTGCTCGTTAAAAAGCACGTGAGTTCTCGGTGAACGTCATCTCCAAACCTCTAAAGTGAAGAATATTTGCGCATTTTACATTCTTAATTCTCCATACGCTTGAAGCACTACTAATTGGCGTTTAGATGTCGACCTTGTCATGTTGGACGCGATCGCTTCTCGTGAAATGAATAATGTTTAGGTCTACTTGTATTGGTCACCAATGGGCAGCGAAGCCACCTGAAAACACTCAATGCGGAAAAGCGGTTCATCGTTTAGCGATGTCTATATAAAAAGTCGGAATAGATATATTCGCGGTAGGCAGTGACTATGGTGAGGATCTTGTCAACGCAGTACTACCCTTAAAGTGAGTGGGCCCGTCAGCGTGAAATCGTAACAGTGACAGAGTCCGTCATAATAGCGATGCAGCAATAGCAAAGAGTCCCGTTGCCGTAAATTTGTAGTCGTTTTAGACCTCCGAGCTTAGCTGTTGTGGTGGCGCAGTAGGTAGACGCGCAGTTGGCGATGTGGCCGTGCCGCAGGTCGTCTATTCGAATGCCGTTTTGCTATATTTCATTCTTTAATTTTATAGTAATACGTCAATATCAATATTGGCATTGCTGCTTTCAAGGAGTCGTAATTTAGCTTTTTTTCCCCAAGAAAATCACGTCGCTGTTTGTCCCGGTTGTTAGCCCTACTGAGTTGATTTTTAGAGGCGCAGTGGGAACGTCGTTGTTCGGCTTCAGTTTGAGTCGCGCTGACCAAGTGAACTTTTGTATTTTTTCTGCTTTCAATATTGTTTTCAGTAATGTTGCCTAATTTAAAGGCAGCATCCTACAGTGGAGCGATGGGAGGAGCCGCTGGCCAGCGAGAAACTGGTTATCAGCTGAGTCGAGGTTCTCGCTGATGGACCCGATTCTCTGAGTGGCAGCTGCCGCAGAACCCTGGTCAGGGCTCCCCCCCCCCCCCCCCACCCACCGCGAAATTCACTGCAGTACCGCAAGCCTAGTGAGTTTTCACCGCCACCATTAAAAGCGCGTGTACATGCACTACCGCAACGAAGCAATTAATGCAACGCTGTAACGATGCAATTATGAGGTGGCCCGTTTTGTCTACACTGCCTATAGTGACGGGCCTAGACATAGTGCTACTGTTTGTGCTCTTACTGAAGTTATTAGAGAAGTTTTTATTTGTTTTTTTTCTTTACTGTTGCGCGAGGTGACTGCATTCAAGCTGCCTACGGCTATAGTATACCTTTCCTCATCGTAGGATACATTGACGCTGCTAGATGCACGTTCATTCTTGCGTATTTGTTTCATCGAGTCGATCAAACCTTGTGGTTTACCCAAGCCCACAGCTGCACCAGCCAGCACTTGCAAATTAAAGCTTCTAGACAACCACTCACGCCCACGAATTCGGCGCGCTCGCACTTTAATCACCGAGAAGGATACGAAACCCGTTTCACTCCCACAGGGCAAGCGTCATCTCAGGATGCGAAGGCAGTCACAGAGAGCACACCACCGTGCGAGTATCTATTGCACCGTAGAGAGTTCGAATGTCTATCTACGTTTCCATAGCAAGAGCACACATTTATGGGACGAAAGCGGCGTGCATATCCCCTTGTTTGAAGGAGCCGATCGGATCACATGAATAAGGGCGCGTTCACACTGAGCATTCCGGCCGCCGAAAGTGCGCCGAATCCGATTCGGCAGCGGTGAGATCCGCCGAAAGGACCCTGTTCGCGCCAATCACTCTCGAACCGATTTTTTGTGGTGGCTGCCGCCGAATCAGTCACCGCGGACCACTGGAAGTGCTAGTCAAATATCGAAAAATTACATGCCCCACTCACTTGCCGTGTCGCAGCGCACGTAACTGAATCTTGTAATCAACGGGAGTTTAACCCACTTTTTGCCTACTTCACGTCCCTGATTCGTGGAAGGCGTGACCGAGCTTGTCGTCGGCGTGACCAAGCTTGTCGCGGTCTGGCAGAGCAAGACGAACCCACCAACACCGCTGGCATCGGCGGTTTCTTCTGCTCTCCATGCATTACATGACAGCGACTTGTCAGCAAAGTAAGCAGTACTGCTTCTTCTTGCTTCCTGCGTACGAAATTCTGCGAAGTCTAGACTGCCGGATCGCGTACTGATGTTTGAAAGCTGCGACAACGACCGGGTGACAGCGCATCCATCGTGCGTTGGCCCCGCGGTAGATGGCATATTCGGCGGCGCGGGGCGCGTCCAGTGCAAACTACGCTGCGTTTCGGCGGCAGTCCCCGGGAATTCCGGCCGCATTAAAAAGCGGATGCTTCAATGTGAACTAGAGCTAAGTCTGTGCATGCGATTTCAGACGAAGTAGACCCGAATTCACTGTCCAACTACACAACCCTCAGGGTTGGAACACATTCTATGTTGACCTGCACAACGTTTGGCATCAGCTAGCGCTTATGTCGACTTTATACAGCGACACGAAAGATACGCGGAAAATATTGATTTGGGAACATCAGATTATGTGTAACGAATTATTAGTTGGAGCTACGGTATCGATGCGAATAAACGGAAACCACATCAAGAAGTTGTTCAATGCGATAATAAAGTAATAAATTCGCACGCATACAAAGGAATACGCTACCCAGCGCTGTAACAATCGGAAATCATCGTGGAAAGGTCTTAATAGTGCTTTGGACGTAAAAGAAGGTTGATAGTTTTATCCCCAATGAATAAACATGATTATCATTTAACAACAAGTAGCAATACTTGAAACAATACTTAGAGCAGAAAAGAAAAAAGTGAGCGCGATGCGCACCGAAGTCGGACCCAAACGACACTGCGCCACGAAATTCACTTGTGGGGGTGCTTCAACAACCGCCACAGACAACGACATGATTTTCTCGCAGCATTACCTAGAACAAAAAAAGGAAAAGTGAAACTTTCGAAAACGGGAATTCGAACTCACGATTTGCGTCACGACACGACCACTTCTCCGACGCGCGTCAAGCCACTACGCCAGCAGCACAGATAGACCGCGGAGTCTATAAAATGACTACAAATTTACGGCACATGTGCCCTCACTTTTACCATAACACTATGGTGACGGGCCCCTTCCCCTTATAGTCATTGCTTTACAATGAAGAGGTTGTCGCTGTAGCTGCATCGCTATTATGACGGGCCCCGTCACTGTTACAATTTCACTACTGTGACGGGTCCCCTCATTTTAACGATAGTACTGCGCTAGTGGGCCGCGTCACTGTAGTCACAATTACACTACGCTGACGGTTCCCCTCATTCTAACGATAGCATTGAGTTGACGGGCCCCGTCAGCATAGCCACTGCCCTTGCGGTAAGTCGTGTTGCATCCCCTCTTACACAGTTCCTAAGCCATCGCTTTGCTGCACTTCATTTTGATTGATTGATTTGTGGTGTTTAACGTCCCAGAACCACCATATGGTTAGGAGATACGCCGTAGTGGAGGGCTCCGGAAATTTTGACCACCTGGTGTCTTTAACGTGCACCCAAATCTGAGCACACGGGCCTACAACATTTCCGCCTCCATCGGAAATGCAGCCGCTGCAGCTGGGATTCGATCCCGCGACCGGCGGGTGAGCAGCCAATTAGCTTAGCCACTTGGTTTTCAGAACTCTGCCAATATGTACTTGTAACGACGCTGCATTCAATAGAAAGTCATTTTATTCATATCAGTTCCGAAACATATTCGCAGACATCTACACGCTTTCCCATACACAGCGAGAGTTTTACGGTATATAATACTGTCACTTAGTTGTGTCGGCGAAGTACGCAGTTGTTCAAGCAGCAAAAAAAAAAAAAAACACCTTCTGCGGGCGAACCCCACCTTAGCAAAGCGGAATGATCACAGTACCACAACAGTGGCGGACACATTCATCGGTCGACGTTAATCTGCTCTGAGGCTGAAGCGCCGTAGATTGCAGCGTTATCGCTGGTGCTCGCGTAAGCTCTACAATGAACGACACCACACGCGCGGTGCGCACAATCTTATGAGAACCTTTTCGAGTGTTTTCGAAGGTTCTATGACATTCAAGCGTAACTTGTGCATTGAAGTAAATTATAATCAGCCTACTTACGGCGCTGTTTGTAGTTACCAGTTATGTCTTCCATCATCCCCGTTCCTATTGACTCGGTGACGATAAGCTTGCCGCATCTGAACGGAGAAAAGGCGGAAGGCATGGCGCTTTTATGAGCTTGCTAGCTATAAACCACGTTTTGACGTCTTTCAGAGGAATAAATTATATTAAAATATCAAACGCGAAACTACTGAAGGATGCATTTCAATATAAGATTAATTCAGGTATGAAATCTGACACTCGAAGACAACACCAAGACTTGCGAAAGGTCGAAGTGGAGGTATACGGGTTAATCTTAGGCTTTGGGTTAAGAGATATCCTAGAGAGAGGGAACGACGTCGATCAATTAGGTGGTGTAAAAGGGACTATGTGTTCGGACTTCATCATGTGAAGCCTTGTTCAGCCTTGAGACGTCTAATGTCTAAACGCCTAAATATTTCGTTCACACCACTATAGAGCCGGCATGCTTTATTTCTTGGGTTGAATTGGCACGAGTGTACACCTCCAGACTTCTCTGCTGTCGCGCAGTCACAAAATGCATTACGTGAACGGCGTTTGTTCGCGGCATAGTGGTATACTTGGGAGCATCCCAGCGCGACGCTACTTCTTTCCAATGAACATGCCAGCAAGGAAACTATACCCGCTACCTTAACTTCACTCGCTATAGGCTAGAACTGAAAAACAATAAGTGATTTAAAAAGAAAGCTTAGTACTTTATTAGCGCGTGTTTTTATTGATCCACTTTTACCATTCTCAAACTTCAGTAACCTTATAGTTAAAAAAAAAAGACACGAAAACAGTACAACCGACGTCGACAAACTTACACTGAGCTGGTTGTAGTGACATATCAAAAGTACTAATTAATGTCAGATACAATTCTGAGCCTGCCTCAGATTACGTACTGAGCAAACTTTCAGAGTGAAAAGCAATAACATTAAACCTTTCAGACGAAAATGAAGTAAAAACGATGCACAAACAGCGGCAGCCTTGGAAAGTGCTGGCTTTCACTAGTTCAATTTCAATGAAACCTATCATGGCGTTCAAATAATTAGATATGAAAGGTAAAAAAAATGAAAGTGCAAAGAAGGCGGCGCTTTACACCTATGTTCTTGTGCAGCGCGTGTTTCTTTCACCCCCCCCCCCCCCCCCAAAAAAATGTGCCAAGATGGAGTTGTATACGTCTTACTCGTTTTCTTGCTCTCTGACGAGTCGCCATCCGGAGGGGTTATTAGGGTCGGCGATGAAGTAGCGAAAGGTGGCCTTGACAGCAGCACGTGCAACGTTGCCGTCGAAAGGCATGTCGATCCGGTCCTCGAACACACCACGCACAGGGAAGGGGCCCACCTCGAACAGCCGAGAATCTGTGGCGCAGGCAAAGAGCAACAGTGATCGTATCTATCTATCTATCTATCTATCTATCTATCTATCTATCTATCTATCTATCTATCTATCTATCTATCTATCTATCTATCTATCTATCTATCTATCTATCTATCTATCTATCTATCTATCTATCTATCTATCTATCTATCTATCTATCTATCTATCTATCTATCTATCTATCTATCTATCTATCTATCTATCTATCTATCTATCTATCTATCTATCTATCTATCTATCTATCTATCTATCTATCTATCTATCTATCTATCTATCTATCTATCTATCTATCTATCTATCTATCTATCTATCTATCTATCTATCTATCTATCTATCTATCTATCTATCTATCTGTCTGTCTGTCTGTCTGTCTGTCTGTCTGTCTGTCTGTCTGTCTGTCTGTCTGTCTGTCTGTCTGTCTGTCTGTCTGTCTGTCTGTCTGTCTGTCTGTCTGTCTGTCTGTCTGTCTGTCTGTCTGTCTGTCTGTCTGTCTGTCTGTCTGTCTACATTCACACCCTCATTTCTAGCTGTGCGTAAAGATAAGCCTCGACACACCCGACATTTCCTCAAACCAGTATAGAGCTCATTCAGATTGTTGTCGGAATGAATTTTGTAAGCGTTTGTAGAGCAATTTCGGGGCTGACGTTGTATGGCACCTAAGCCCAATGCCAGTTTCAATAAAATGTGCGAGAATAATATTAGCAACAAAAACACAACTTTGGTACTATGTTTTCCCAGCATTACGACTCATTTACGTCTCCTGAACGTGTGCGCTACAAAACAACACAGTGCACCTAATTCGAAGCCGCGGGATAAATAGCTGCTCATAACAGTTTTTGTCAGTCGCTTTCCTGAACATGCTATGACACATGCTTACGCAGACTGAGTCCTTGCGGAGTTCCATCAAGCACTTGCCACCCGCTATAGCTGCCCGGGAGGTCAGGTCTCCTCATCCAACCTTCATTCCAAACGTGGTAGTTCCTACAGTAAAGCGCCAAATAAACCACATTAGAGATAAATGACGATATTTTTTGGTAACTGCGCGCATCGACATTGCAGCGAATGGGCGCTGGCCTGAAAAACTAGTCCATAGACAGTTTTTACGCTTGAGGATCGAGCTTTGTACCTGTCTCTCGCTTCAAGGTAGAGCATGCGCAGCATGCAAGGCGTCTCCTCGGTAAAAGCTTTTCCCGACGTGTAATATTTTAGAAGTTTTCGCTAGGTAGGTGAGGGTGCGTGAAGAACAAGCTCTAGACACACGACATTGGTCCACCACGGTGAATTAGTAATTAAAGTGCACAGCTGCTCACCCAAAGGTCACGGGTTCGATCCTGTTCGCAGCGGTCTCATTTCTGTGGAGGCGAAATGTTACAGGCTCGTGTATACTGTGTGATGTTAGGGCACGTTAACGAACACCAGATGGTCCGAATTTCCGAAGCCTTCCACTACGGCGTCTCTCATAATGATATTGTAGTTTTGGGACGCAGCTAAATACACGATATTTGTTCAACGTCATGAAAGAACAAAATTAGAGGGTACAAAAGCTGGCATAAGTTTTCCAAAAGATACCTCTGCAGCTGAGTGAAAAACCTTCCTGACGCACACTTTTAAAACCGCCTTATGGTGGCGCATGTGCACTAAGGGCAAAAACGAACACCTCGGTCGATTCCCTTTCGTTTATTGTGGCATGTATGTATCGTATACTTAGTGACCGTAAATAAACACTTCGTGTTTGGTTTAGCTGCACTACTTCGATACTCTTGTTTAGCGCTTGTTTTACGTAGCATGTGATTCTACCTCTATGGCGCCACACTTTCTCTCACAAAGTGTTCCAGCGGCTAGAACTGTCGTAGACTATATATTTATAGCTTGGAGCCTCGAGCCAAATGTAGTACAGCATTAAGGTTTCGTATCGGAGTGACTACTCGTCAGCTTAATTAATCTACCTATAGGGTGCGCGCGTGAGTTACACTTGTTGCGTGCTCATGACGATTGTTATAGCGCGAGCTCAAAACGACGACGAAGGGGCAAAAAGAAGACGAGCGCTAACTTTCATTTTAGTTTATTGTGCCGAGCGCGAAAACATATGAAGCAAACAGTAAATCATATGAAAAAAAAAAACAATGCAAGGAGAGTAAAGTAAAAACGACAAAAACCAAGAGAGAAATCTAATGAAACGATACAGAAAACTAGAACAACTCTAACTAGATGCGTGCGCGGATACTTTCGAGGAACCTTAATTTCTTTTTGGACAGAGACACGGAAGGCTTCCTACTGCATAAAACCTGTTCACGTGACATCTGCGCAGCCTCGACGATGGCTCTGGCTGATCATTTCTGTGCTTAAACAGCGCCACTGTGTTATCGAAAATGGGCACGCAGTTTGCACGCAGTCTGGTACTGTACAAGAAAACCATCTTTCCCGTTTCTGACATTGTTATAGCAAGTTTCCTCAGTCGATCGTTCAGACACTTTCCGGTCTGCCTGACATAACAAGCACCACAGGAAAGGGGGGTCCTATAGACAACTCCTCGGGAACATTGCACATAACTGGTCCTACGTTTAACTTTACGTTCAGCTGATGAATGCTTGTTCAGGGAGTTTGTAGATTTAGGAAGACTGATTAATTTGAACGGTGCAGAGAACAGCACACTAATACCCGCACGTTTTTTTTTCAATTTTCTTGAGCCTTTGAGATATCTGGATGTTTGTACGGAACAACAGTTCTCCTTTCACGCTCTGTGTCCGTGTTGCTCAGATCCTCTCCTTGTTTCCGTTTTGCCTTACTTGTCCGCAGCATAGACTCAGAGACAGATGTGGTAAATACATTAGGAAAACCCGAAGCCATAAGCCGGGACATGAGCTTTGAAGCTCGCATAAATGCTGTGATAGCACGACCTGTTCAATGCATTCTCAAGGCTGGTCCGTGCTATATGTCTCGCTTTACTATAGCTTGCTGTGAGCGGAAAAAAATAAGGAACCAAAGTTGCTGCGCACGTGGTTCGTAACGCTAACAAATATGCTGTGTGCTAAAAAACAGTCTTAAATATAAAAAAAAAGCGTAAGGTGTTATTCTCGGGCATTTCATGTGTCAGCACACGGCCGGGCTAGACTGCGCGCGCTTCTCTCCTTACGGCCTTCTCACCTGTCGCGAATACACTGGGAGAGTATGTTTCACCACCCGTTGGCGGTAGGGGCGCAGTGACCCTGACATTGCATCTTCTGCGCAGCGCACACGGCGCAAGAGAGTTTGTCAGTGTGAAACCGTGGAATAAGGGTTCTCGACGAAGAAGGGGAGGGGGATTATTAAATAAATCGAGGATAGAGGGAGGATTGTCTATTAAAAAAAAAACTAATTTACCAGATGGCTTGCCGCTTAACGTATATGTATGTGCTCGTGGGTAATACAAGCTGAAGCTGAGTGAAAATTTGGAAGAATCGGCTAATGAGAGGCATAATTAAAAAAGCATAAAACCCTGGTAACGATCAGAGGGACAGAAGAGCAATGCTGCACCTGTTATGCAGTCAGAGTGCACTAAACACTTTTGGCCCTTGGTCTCGTCGGACAACGACGTCGCAATTAAGACAGGTTGCTCACGGAATGACGAGCGCGCCTTCCCTTTTCTAGCTATTTTCTATTTTAATTTATTTTTCTAAATATATTTGGAGTGTTTTCAGGGCTAATAGCTGCAGTCTGCAGCCTGACAACTCTTTTAAACACGTACGTTTGTTGTATATCTAATGGCTAAAAAACAGCGTATCAGGAAGAAGAAGAAAAAAAAAATAGAGGGCCCTTGCTGCTGAATTTTGTCTTCAGACGGCACGCACAAAGAGTAGCGGTGTGCATTGTCAAAGTGTTAACGCAACCTGGAAATGTTGATTACGGAGACCCTAAGCACTTTTGCATTTCTTTGTACTGCAAGCGACGTCCATGAAAAATGCGAACGAAGTACGCAGCTGCTTACGCTCTAAAGCCACTTGCCCCGGAACTAAAACTGTAGTACAAATGAGTGCTGCGCTATCTTTCTAGTTCGTAGAACAAAATGTTTCGAAATGGAAATGTACAACATTACAACTTTTCGGCAAGTAAGCAGCTGTTTTTCTTAAAAATTGTATAAATTTTCTTGCGGCCTAATGCTAGAAGCAGGTTGTTGTGAATCGCCTTTTATCTCTAGTGTGGCGTGCTTTAATTTGGTATTTACCCACTATGGCTGCATTTCATTCGGTGCTTTCTCAGTGTTCAGTCTACAGTAGTTTTTCGAGTCGAGAAGGCAGACGCACTACCTTCAGTTCACGCATTACGCACAAGGATATATATTAGCTGCGTGAAGGTGTATTGATGTCTTCTGTCACGGCCGCTCAATCGCCGTATCCCATATTGCAGGTCTCGTGCGGGGAAAACACCCGGTGTTCCTTCCCACCGATTCCGAAACAATATTGAGCTGTGCGGCAAGTGACAAAAGAATATTACGAGATACAACCTCATCATCAACGACAAGTCTGCATCGACAGTCGTATGCAGCAGACACTTGCGCGATGAAGACTTGGTGCCTGCGTTCCACATCAGAAACCTTATTTCTGACTGCGCACGCGCCTACTCTATTCTGGAACTATTTTTCCTACATGATCTCAAGTGCATAGAAGCCTCGCAAAGATCCTGCTTCACGAGTTTGGCCCCTACGTCACACATCAAGGAAGTGATAAGCGGCGACCAACGAAAGAGGTCTGGATGTTGCAACTTCACAAGAAGCTTTCACTGAACAAGAAGCAAGTGTTTGCACGCAAACAATAAACAACGACGCTCATTGGGCGGGTCGATACCACACTTTGATTCAGACTATTGCGCTCCCAAGTGTTGATACCAGACTATTGCGCTCCCAAGTGTCACGCCACGCCATCGTTCAAAATGCGAGAAAGTGCAGCGATTGCTGAAAGAAGAAAAAAAAAGCATCGCAATATTATCGCGAAAGCAAGCACCACGCATGTGTTAAGAAAAATCGCAGCCGATGCAAATAAAAGAGAGAAGGCCGTGTTTGTTTTGCATCAAATAGAATGTGACGGAAGAAAGCATTCAGCGTGCCCAGACGATTTTGTAAGGGGTGTGTGGTATGCCGCTTTCTGTCACAAAAAGGCTATGATCACGCGCACACTTCGGGGCTTGTGACACTGCCAGCAAAGTGCACTTGTCAGAGGTGTATAGGTTCAAGCCCAGCATCACCAGCTATGAGCAATGCCATAAACCATTTGTGCGTCTTCAATGATTAAGCAACTTGTTTTTCAACGCGCGGTTAGTGGAGAAGCGAGCCGGAACTCCTGTGTTCGCGTGCTGTACGGAGTGGCGGAAGATGGCAGGGTCGCAGCGCCCCCCTCAAAGGTGTGGCGAGAAGCATAAACTACCCCCGTTGAAAAGGCCGTAAGAAGGGAGCGCGCAGGTGCAGTCTAACCCGGCCGTGATCAGCACTAGAGGCTTCAAACAATCTTCAAACACGCCTATCGTTTGGACCGATATTTAGTGGAACATGGAAGGATTACACTCTATAACGACCAAAGAAATTATCCACGTATCTGAGTATTTTGATAACATGTGTACCTTCTAACTTTTTCTGCTTTTACACCGTGAGTTACACATGCTATTTTAATGTAATATGGGAATCGTGGGCGAATATCCAATTACCGCTTTTCGTAAGGGTCTTAAGGCAAGTGGAAAGTAAAGCACTATTACCGACAATGATATTTTCTAAATGACACTTCCAGACTCGCACACAACCATGTACCACTAAAAGCAAAACAATATACGAACAAACACCAACATCAAAATCGCATGGACTTTGATCGCGCGCACATAGAACGTTGATCCATACAAGTGGCCCTCTGTATACTGTATGTCACCGGTTGATAAGTATTTTGCGTGACGGAGAAGACGTCGTTCGAAGCGTGCCCGAATCACTTCCAGTCGTGAATATCGTTCTGAGCTGAGTTTTTCGAAGCTACAGATGACAAGCAAAAGAACCTTGTCAATGCGAAACTTTTCCGAAGAAGGTGCATTAATGAGAGAGCCGAGAACGCCCGAAGCAAAAAGAAAACTACTTCACGCCTTGCCTTAGACGCTCTCTTCAGGAATTTTAATGGCATGCGAATAAAGCGTAGGCGTCCCATCTAAGACATCTGTTGCGCCTCGCTTTGCTGCGATTCTCAGCGATGTCGGAGTGGAAGAAGTGGCAGGTGGCGTCGTGCAGCCAGTCAGGGGCGTGATCACGAGGTGCTCGCTTACGCCACTGTGTGCTCTTCTCTGAGATGGTTTTGAATACTCGAGCAGGGGGTGTGCGAATAGGGATTAGTTTAGAACTGAATCGAATGTTGTTTGAAGAATGACGACACCGACTCGGGTACGAATCTAACATCATTTGAATAGTTTTAGAATAGTTAGTCAACCGTTTTGAAAGCACCCCTCTAGACTTCAGCAGCATTTATGTGAAACAACTATTCAGACACTTTGCCAAAGGAACATGTCAATTACTTTTGACCGACAAAAACAAAAAACAAATATGGAAACTTTGGCAAGCTGATACACGACATCGACTAGAGCGTTCGAGATATTTTGTAACAGTGGATTGGTGTAAAGCAGTGAATATTGCATTAAAGGTGGTACCTAATGTAGTATGGGATGAAATGTAGGTCCTTTGCTCCAATACCATCAGTGTTGAATGCTGTATCTGCAAGAACACTCTACACAAACACGAGACTTGCGTATTTCGTCATTTTAAGTGTATACGTGCAGAAAAGTTGAAGCTCTGAAGCTGAATTCAACCGTACAACGCAGCTTGAAATGATGGTGACCAGGGGCGTAGCCAGTGTAGCGAAGCCTTTACATCAGCGATTTCGTCCGTGGGGTGTACAGGTGCCTCTTCATGTTGGTGCGTATGATAATATCTGGAATTTTGTGTGCCAAGACCATGATACGATTATGAGGCATGCCATAGAGTGGAGGGCTCCGGGAACTTTAACCGTCTGGTGTTCTTTAACGTGCACGGACATTACACGGGCCTCTGGCATTTGACCTTCATCGGAATGTGACTGGCGCGACCGGGATCGAACCCACGACCGTCGGTTTAGCGGCCGAGCAACGTAACCGTTACACCCCCGTGACGTATTGTGTTGCTGTGTATGTAAAATGTAATAAAGACAAATGTAATAGATGCTATTACAACCGTTACTAGATCTAAAGAAATTTGCATCTTGGCTGCAGGAACCAAGAATAGGAATTTTATAAAGCCGAAAGTCCCGATTTAGCGAAAAAGATTAGCATATATATGCCGTACCTTGGCAATACTATATAGTGTGGCGCTTGCCCGTACAGTTATATTTGATGGCTTCTAAATCTTCCGCTCATGGTAAGGCTATTTTTCTCGATGTGAAATTAAAAAAAAATTCTCTGCATAGAAAACATCATGGAACAAAGAAAGAAAGAAAGAGAGAGAAAGATGAAAGAATGATCGGGAGGTTAACCATAGGAAACCTCCGGTTCACTACCCTGTACTTGGGTAGGGATGTAAAATAATGAATGAGAAGAAGAGTTGGTGATGACAGCAGGCGACAAAACAGTCACGACTGTAGGCCCGTCCTTGTACTAACACGCAGCGACATTGTTTGCTAACAGCCATAGTTTTATTGTGATAGAAATAATAGTGACACTCTCGGCTGAATTTTGCCGCCGGTGTCAGCGACCACCGTCATTCACCATATATGTATGCGTGTCTATATATATGAAAACGCAAAGACAAATAGACCAGAAAAAAAAATCCGGCGTGCGGAATCGTACGTCCGACCATTCGTGCAGGAGCGCGCGGCGTTTGCCGCTGAGCCACGAAATAGAACGTCTTTCATCGTTGACACGGCAAGCTGTTTATATCTACCACTAAGCGCTTGCGGCGCCTATGAACTCTCTCGCTGTATTTCGTGCTGACCGGCTGTGCCCCCGCTATCTCCAACTACAGCGCAGCGCTAGCCGACCGGCTCGCCCTCCGCCATCTCCCGACTTCGTGAAGCTTTCGCTGAGTGGTGCTCTGTCCTCGGAATCGTGCGACCGTGTCCATCTTTCCTATCTTCTCCTTAATTCTTTACGTGGGTCTCTCTGTCCCTGTCTCTATCTCTATCCCCATCCCTTTTATTCCCTCCTTACCCACATCCCTCGTAAACGCTGTTGAGGTGTCGCACTATGATGAAGACAGTTACGGGGCTCACTTTTATCTTTTTTTTTGTTTCTTTGAAGAATCACTTACAAAAATGGCACCTATCTTGGGGGGAATAGTGTGTTTTCAGCATTACTAGTGAGATTGTGCAATGAGTGCGCTCGGATAATGCTCGGCGCCCAGCTCATCACGATGCGCCCATGCGCGCTCATCTCCCACGCGTTATTTGCGCCGCGGAAGGGGAGGGGCCTTATCCGCGCACCTAACTGTGGTTGGGGTTATCACGCGCCGTTGGCTTTCATCGGAACGTCGCGCTCAGTTGCCGAGCTCACAAAGATAACTTTGCTCGCTTCACAGGCCCCGTTTGCGAAAAGAGCACGCTTTTCGAACACAGCGAAGTAACAACTTGGACACTTGTCAGTTAGCACTCATATCTATACCTGTAATTACGTTTCTTGCGTCATTTTTGTTTAAACAGCGCGTTAAGTGTCGAGCTGTAAACGTTGTTAGTTAGCTCTCGTCCTGGTTGTGCTGTTTTTGTGCGTTATTTGTGCTTCACGTTTTGGTCTGCTTACTGTTCTCAGCGTTACATTCCAAGTTGTTTCTAACGCATTCATTGCCTCACCTTTGCGGCGAAACTGTGACTTTTTTTTTCATTAAGTCGGGTTGCTCGAAGGAGCACTGAAAATGAATCAATGATCAAACATGTATTCAGAACGGAGTGCGTCTACTAAAAAAATTTGGTTGCAATCAAATTGGTCAAATGGCGTAGATTCAGCGAAAACGCATTTGCGTGTATTTTTTTCAAGTTGACCTGCGTAATTAACGTAAAAATTGCCAGTATGTATGTTAAGCTGTTCAGGGTCATCGTAACTCGCTCAGAAATTCAATAGCCGGAAAGCTAATCGCAGTTGCAGATAGCAAGACGCGAAACTAACCTTCGAAACGCCGTTGAGACGCAGTGTCAAAGCATTGCCCAAATAACTTCCTAATGCAACTGCAACCTCCTGAATGTAACCAGCATATGAATTTCAAAGCTGTCATCCTACGCTAGACAGACACGCATTGTCGTACTCCTGCGTTCTCTTTCAGAAATAGCCGGCGAACGTGCGGAAAGCTTTCCTTAAATCCGCTAAGCGTGATGTCAGCAGGCACCGAAAGTACCTAGACAGTCGTCCATCTACATTTGGCACTGATGTTGAGAATGCATTTACGAAGAAGTCACCTATGGTTGCGCTGCAGCTCAAACAGTTCGTTATACCCCGAGTCTTGATGTCCGCAAGCCAAGCTGATCTAGACAGCTCGCTTTTGACTGTCACGAGAAGCGAATTTTGCTGCGATTCATCGACAACCAACGACAACTTGAACATTGATAGCAGGGTAGCTGAAAGTAGGAGGCTCATTTCAGAAATTTTGGCAGAAATTTTCCGCGCTCAACAAAAGACTTCGCGCGTGGTGCGATGAAACAACGTCGGAAAGGGCTGGGGAAAATAGCTCCTATGATACAAAGAAATTTATCATTGCAATAAAAATTAATGAGTAACGCCACACTTCTCGTTACGTAGAAAAAGGTAATTTAAGTACATTACCCGACATAGTTTCAGAAAAGTAATGGGTATGTCAGTAAGTAACTGAAAAAATTGGCGCGTTACCGATAACGGCGTTACAAGTGTTGTGACATGAAAAATTTGACAGAACGATTAAAACTGATTCTCAAATTATGTTCAAAACTAAATTTTAATCAATTCAATTGTTCCGTAGATCAACACTTCATATGCGTAACCATCGTATCATTGTTCGAAGCAATTGAATGTGATAAGTGACTTTCACAGCCGTTTTGATTTTGTGGTCGCTTTCTTTTTGTGTCTATACAAGTGGACTGCAAGAAGAGTCGACTTCAAAAAGAAGAGTCGAGTTCAAGCGTAGCTGTAGCTGCACGTATGAACAGAAATGTTTGAAAAAATGAAAATGGGCTGCGAAGACAGCGTACTCACCAGATGCTGCCGCCAACGTGCGGCTTAGCTCCATTGTACGGGAACCTTATGTCTACCACCTGGCCGCCGTTGTCCACGTGAACCGATGGAAAATTAGTCACGACCCTGGACGGAATTCCCAAGGCACGGAGAACTGTAAATGCATACGCCACGTAGACGTCAAAGCTCGGTACATTTAAATGGGTCCCTTTCCTTAGGAATTTTTCAGTATATGTGCTGACTTATAGCCAGCATTCAGAACACCCAATAAGTTGTAGAAATATACAAGTAGCGTTAAAGAGCGTACGGTTGGTACAGCCAAGAACACCAAGAGTACAGTAGCGCTCTATTAGCCATCTTTGCTCAGAGAAAAAACTTGCATTAAGTAATAAAGAACCAATTGGTCATTTACTTCAAATTAGCTTCCTTAATATATAAGCTTAGGTCGGCAAAACTCGCGGAGCTCTCTCAGACTCAATCATGAAATATATTTTAATCTTTGGACTCATTCAGTCTCACGAAAATTTTCCGGAGCCGGACTTACTCGGACTAATAGACACAACAATTCTCTTCAACCAGAGTCATACTCACCAAAACCTTACTCACCCGGACTCACGGCTTGATGTGAGTCTGGCTGAGTCCGAGTGAGTCACCTCATGAGTCCGTGAGCCCCGCCGCGGTGGTCTAGTGGCTAAGGTACTCGGCTGCTGACCCGCAGGTCGCGGGATCGAATCCCGGCTGCGGCCGCCGCATTTCTGATGGAGGCGGAAATGAAGTAGGCCCGTGTACTCAGATTTGGGTGCACGTTAACGAACCCCAGGTGGCCGAAATCTCCGGAGCCCTCCACTACGGCGTCTCTCATAATCATATGGTGGTTTTTGGATATTAAACCCCACATATCAATCAAATCAGTCATGAGTCCGTGAGTCTAGAATTAGATTTCTCGACCATGGTATCAATGCTCTTTAACATCAATATCTCACGCAATTGGTGCTCTTCTTGGTGCCGTTTGACATAATCTTGGACAACAAGCTCTGAGTGCTTGCAAACTAGTAAGGTCATTTTGTCTTGGAAGTGATGACAGCATTAGATATAATAATTAATAAACTCTCTAGAAGAGCTGTAATGGAGGGAGACCAAGGCTTCCCTTGCGCAATTCGCACCTCTGATTAATAAACATTAAAACAGTGTATGAAGGACACTGCTTTGGAATACACATGTGGGTAGATGCGAGTGTAAACGTGAATCCGGGCAAGGCTGATAGTAGTGCTGAAGATGAATAGACAGGACCTTACGTCGACAAAAAAAGTGGAAATCACTCAGGCTCACTCAAAAAATATATATTGCGCTTTGGACTGACTCGGACTCAGACTCGTCAAAATTTTCTTGAGCCGAAGTCACTCGGACCCACGCTCACGAAAACTTTCTTCAAGCGGGCGCACTGGGACTAAGACTCAAGAAAATATTACTCGCCCAAAATCACCCACTCTCACGGCTTTATCTGAGTCTGAGTGAGTCGACGCATCAGTGAGTTCGCCGACCTGTGAGTAAAAGTAACTATATTACAACGTTTACGAGGCATTTTGCCTAAGCCCTGGTCTTTTTATGGCAGAACAAAAGGCAAGTTTCGCTATCAATTCTGATGTCATTTTTTTCTCGCTATTTGGAATGTAATATGTCGGTTGTCGTGGCAGTTTAGAGTTCAGGGCAAACGCCTGTTTACGAAAGTTGGGCTTCCGGTGATCTGCTTCTGATGGCAACTATTCCAGAAATTTAATTCAGTGGGGGCTGCTGCACAACAGCAGTTACTTATCATTCGTCACTCTCCGCGTAGGTTAGCCAAATATAGCGCGCTCTCAAGATGGTCAACTGCGCCACGGTCGCCTTACGGGTATTGAGGACAGCTGCGAAGGTGAAGCACTGGCCGTAGTTTACTGTGTTTCCACCCATCTCGATGTACTGGTTGAGGATGGCGGAAGACGAGCTCCAGGCGTAAGGGTGGACGCCGTTTGAGTACGGCGGGTTCCATTTTCCTTGGACCACACCGTTGTTGTCCTTGGAATTTACCTGCGGTTCGCGAAAGAGCTTTAGCTAACACAAATAAGCGAAACATTTTTGAAAGGGTCCCTAAGGAATCTCTTAAAATACGGAGAAGTGGGCTATCATCATATGAGGTTGTTCTCCTTTTCGGCACAGTTCGTGTATATAGCGCTTGTAAGATTTATGGTGAGTGCTGGAAAAAACTAATCTCTTGTCCTTGAATTTTGAGTGGTTTAGGGGCTTTTAAGGGACAACTGTAAAGCTATATACACTTCTCTCCTGTCTTTTCGGCATTACCGGCTATGGTACACGCCGCTCTAGCCCTACCTGCGTCTTTTCAAGACTACAACTACTGCATCGACACTACTCTGTTGAAAAAAGGGCGTCAACTTCGTTGACATTGCCCCGCCGTCGCCCGGCTTGTAGCATACACCGGAAATAAGAAAAGGCACTCACTCCGGAAGCAAGCTTGCGTGACACGGCAATGGGATTCCCTCTTTGTGATATAGGCAGCCCAGTAATCTCGAACAGGAATTCTGCAGTTGGTAGCGACGCTTTCTCGAACTGAAAGTAGCCGGTGAACGAAGCTTCAGAGCTTTCTGATTTTGTGTGGGGGGCAAAATAATGTTACTGTTTGGTGCTGTGCGCTAAACTTCCAAATTAAACAAAAGTCAGAAACTTTAAGCGTCCCTCCGCATCACATGCACAGTCGTACGAGGCAAACATTTGTTTTCTCTTCATGCATATATGAGTACAGCGCTAACTTGCAGGTAAATTCAGTAAACATTCTACTCATACTCAGCGACAAAGGGACAAGCTCTTGTTCAATACGAGAAAACAGAAGTTATATTTCAACGGGAAAAAATATATTGCATGCAGGGCAAAAAGGACATCATAATATTATATTTTTTGTTAGTATTCGATGCGTCTAGCATCTGCAATTGACAGAAGTAAAATATTTTTTAAACTTTTATTATAGTGGGCAACCATATAAGTTCAGTGCGCAGGATTGCGCTACAATTGCTTTATATTAAGTTAATAAATTAAGGAGGGGTGACGTTAAAAGCGCATTGATACTATTCAGGTGGTACATATGAGAGCAACGCCTTTCTTCTGCAACGAAGAGTTCGTTTCATACCTGCCCGTAGTACCACTCCTTGGGAACGGGGCTTTCCGCCTGTCCGTGGTATATATAGCCTCTATCTTGCATCACGTAGAAGCTCCGCGCTTGATCATTTTCTACAAACACGAGGTCTCCTGCGAATGACAGTGTTGTAGAATATTTTTGTAACCATGCAGTGTGAGAAGGAATAGGTTACGTGAAGCTTCACAATCTTTCGATCAGCTCACCTGGGACCATTTCTTGGAAGAAAATTCGTTCAAATGAAAAAAAAAAAGATCTTTCCTGCAGGAAATGCGTCGGCACACGCCACTGCCAGGGAACGTGATCGCAGGGTAACCACACTTGGCTATCGTGCTCCAGGGAACACGTTACAAACAGATGCATTCCAGAAAGGTGGCTGATCAGAGGCTAAGCAACAGAACCTACCCTCCGCCACATTATAAGCTAACCACAAAAAAAAAAAAAAAAACTAGCCATGCTTACAGGATAAGGCAACACTTTTCACCATAACACAGTGCTGTATGACGTGAATCCTAATAAACTGCTTTACAAGTTCAAGTACCTGAAGTTCTCAACGCTACATATCACCTAGTACAGGACCTCGAGCACTGCAGATCCACACCCCTCTCTTTACCATAAAATTGAATATCACTAGGAGGATCAGCTCTCTGGCTCAAGCCCTGATGACTTGGGTTCATGGCATCATGAAGTGGGGAAGCTATCCTCCTGAAGACGACCTAAAGGTATACTGCCTAAATTTGAATAAAGGTTAATCCTTCTCCTAGTTGCTGGCGATAATATACACCATAACAACGGTTAACACAAGGAGGGTACAGGAATCTTGCTACTCGTGTACTTTCGTATGGCCAAAATTAAACACCAAAATCGGGGCTGTACATTAACTCGACACGCACACGTTCATGTACACCATGATGTCAAGAGTAGAGTTGGTTCAGATGGGTGCTAGTGTGCAACACTCAAGATGGCCTTCATCTCTGCCAGAGAATTTGCTGTAGGCTTGGTGATGATTGTTGATATACGCTTTACTTAATGAGTCTCGTGGCGTCAATCTCACAATTCAGAGCAAAAAAAAAATGTGTTACGAATAGGATTATCGAAATCAGCTTTGTGGACTACGTGAAACGCTAGTAATCTGGGGCTGAATACACGCAAATTTCAGTTCGTAAGTTGTGTTTGCCACTTAGCTAATTGGCATCGTTACTTATATGTCTCGCATCACGGTGAGCTGAAAATTTATTTCTCGAGGAATTATAGTGTCAAATGTTGGTGTGTATATGGGCCCAGAATTGTTTAAAAGTACATAAAACTTATAGCTATAGCAATGCTACTTAGTGTGGTATGTTGGACGTTTGTGGGATGTTGAACACCTAAAAAAATTTAAATGCTTAAGCAGAAAAAAAAAAAACAGCCTTCAGTGATTCCCTTGTTCTCTCGCTTCGATTTCTTGAAGTTGATATTAGATAACCGGTTTGGTGCCTGATACCTTTGTGGGGAAGCTTAATGTTGATGCCCCATGCCCACCGGGCCTTAATGGTACAGCTTCTTTTTCTTCCTTGAAAGGACTGCTTCGTTGAAGGCCCCCTTTTAATTGCAAGTCTGTTTGAATGTGTAGGATATAGGGCCTGTATTAGAGGTTATTGTCTCATCTTAATAAAGCTGTATTCCTCCACTTGGCGCTGGCGATAAGCCTACATACTGTCATTGATTGCAGAAGCATGTAAATGAGTGCTTGCAGTTCAACCTTGCCGAGTAGTTTTAGATGTCCGGGTTGAGCATAGGATTGTGTTCCTTCACACATGAAATGACTCGTACTCCCAGTCGGTGACTGGCCAAGAATCTTTCACATGCGATTTCAAATATGTGAAGTATTAACTAATGATTGAACAAAAAAGCAACGATAAAAGTAAATGTACAGTAACTATTTAGTTGTACATTCATATCAGACAGCTAAACGGTTATCCCGCAGAAGAAGTAGAATAATATATTACTCTTATTATCCTTCATTCTCAATGGCACATACAAACCGTAGGGAATTCGCAGCCTTGGAAGTCGTGTCTTCTAGATTTACGTGCAATATGCGGCGCTGCCATCTACCAGGTTGGGAGAAAGGAAGAGATTCAATTTTATTGCGCGACATCCAGTGCATATATATCGTGCCATATGTCCGTTAAGAATCCTGCGATGCTGAATGCTCATGCAAAGTAAACGTGCCGGTTTCTTGAGGTAATGTTGTAGGCAGAAATGCCATCCATGCTCCTAATGTGTTCTTCTTAAAACTTTGTATGTATAGTATGCGCATATTTTATGCATAACCTAAGCTCTGTACCCGTCACCATTTTCATATAAAGCTGCTTTTGTTCACTGACATCATGCTTACGCGTATGAACACGGACAAATTGCCAAAATACCATTATTTTGTAAATTGCAGCAGGCTCATGCCTGTTGCATCCTCCAACTTACATATTGAGCTCTTGCCATGTTTTAGGCTCGCTGCTATCATAATTGTCGTCTACGACTTGTTTGTTACATGAACGCTGTTTTTTCATTGGGTTTTCACGATCATCTCTATAAGCAATCGCCCAGAAAGGCATCGCCATTGAATGAAAAAAAAAAAAAGAAAGAAAGGGCAGCGATGCACTAGTGGTGTGAAGACTGAGCAACAGTGGAGCTGGTGGAGTTCCCCTTCTCCTCACTGTTTTTTTCAGCCTCTTGCTATACTATACTGCAGAACAAGACTATACTTTTTTTTTCTTTTCTCCCTCCTCAACAGCCTCACATAACTACTCACAATTAATTCCCATTCCCACACGTTTGCTATACCATTTACTTCACACTCTGCCCTCCTCCTTTCTCTCCGCCTCACCCCGACTTCCTTTTCACACTTCTCTTCTATATTGTACAGTGTCATCTATGCTTCCTATCTCTTCATGTTATTTTATATCTCTCTACCATCGCTAGGCAGAGCACGCGTCAGCGTGATAATGATAGTACTCTGTACGATTCATGCGGACAAACGAAAAGCTCAACAGCTAAGGAGTAAAATTTCAAGACCTGCACGAAATGTGATCCGTGATCGTCGTCAGCGTAACTGCATAGATGGATGAAGGCACAAGACAAAGTCAGTTTCGAGCACGTAACATTTGTAGCTAAAGTAACATTTTAGGAAAGGAAACGGCCGCCCATGTTTGTAACATTCTCGCATCAGAAGTTCCTGAAGGCACGTTAACGTGCTTCTCTAGAAGTAGACGCGCTTTGTTGTGCAGCTTGCAGCTGGCGTATTTTAAAGAACCACTCACCAGGTTCCCAAAATACAAAAAAGAGCGCGATATTATTTCCTGATATTTCTCGTCGTTCTTGGTGCACTACTGTGACTTATACAGCAGACATTCTCTCGATTCGTTAATATACGCGAAATATCACATGTGATTTGTCTCCTGCACTGCTTTGCCATGCAGCCGTCCATCCGTTCTTTTTTGTATCGCATGAATATTGTGCACAGTTGACCGATCAAACTTCATTTTGTGTGTTCACAACTGCGCAAGCGGTGATAACAGTGCGCAGCCGAGAAGCGCGAAATCTCCATAGGCTCTAGCGCTTAGTGCTGATATTGTTCACGTGCATTCAAGAACTAAGGGACGAGGAGGATGCATCGTGTGTATGAAGCAGAGCAGAAAATCACCCCCTCGTCTTTAAACGGGGGTGATGAGTGGCCCTTTAAGTAGCCATAGATGTGTGTAGACACATTTATGACCACTAGAAGCATACTATAATCAAAGTATGCGCATTCATACCAGTAGTTTTTACCTGAGCCGAAGCAACAGCTTTTTGTAACACAAACAACAACAAAAAAATGCATTGAAGACACGTGCTCCTATTATCACGTATATCGCCTGGAGCTGTAGTTTGCATGCCAGTTAGCAGTGGCGTTTTCTGAATGTGCACGATGCCGTGGGTTCTAACCCCAGGTCAAGGCTGTCATATTCATTTGGGGGAAAGAACGCATCGTCTTTCGAATACAGAGCAATAGTACAATGTGAATTATACCATGATGTCAGCATTAATCTGTCATCAGCCACTACGTAGCATCTTGTAACACGAGCTGCGTCACCGTGTTGCTTAGTATTCGATTACTTTTCACCGAAGGCAACTACTTTGACCGTCATAATGGGTATATCCAAAGACAAATTGCACATGTTCTTACGCTCGTCAGAAATACACGAACCCCTTATCCTTTGCTCTGTTAGCTGGTAGCAAACCACCCACCCAATTCTGGTGGTACAGCTGTACTATCGGATACAAAGGTAGGCGGGAAGTAAGTATTCTTGAAAGTAGCTTCCTGCAACATGCTTTAGTTTGGCACAATGAATTGACTTCCTTTTTCATATTCTGTCTGCGTCGTGTTAAATATTTCAAGATTTATAGCGAGCTGCGGTCATAGCGTGTACGTGTCAGCGGCAATAAACAGAAAGAGTTAATGAGTGCTGAATGCAGATTGGCAGCTTTTGCTCTACGAGCGCCAGCCAGCTGTTTCCCGTAACCACCCCCATCCCCCCTTTGTTTTCAATAGAACCTTTCGAAACTTGTATTCAATATGATGGTTATATCGTCTTGTTGGGGTCGCTGTAAAATTTGTTTGACGAACCAATTGTAGTGTGGCATTATTTTACACCTCCGTTCGTTATCACTCTGGTTCACACTTGTGCATTGATGTACGCGTGCGCAGAGTTCGTGCCAGGAGTGCCGGCAAGCGCACTCACCACTGTGCCATGGATTGAAAAGGATGTAGATGGATTCTCTGGCCCGAAACTGCTGTCCGTTGCCAGATATGGTGAGTATCCAGCGGCCTACGCCGGCCGTGACGGGGATCTCGAGGCGAAGCAGACGCATCGGGCCGTCCTGATGCACAAGGGCTAGAATCCACTGGGCCTGGCCGGCTGCTGGATAGGTGGACACAGAATTCGGGTCACCTGGCACCGGTAGCTGCACCAGGCTCCCATCGCCAGGTTGAGGATTGTCGCCTGCGTGAAACGAAGTCGCATTGTTGCAACGCAGGCTTAACGGAGCCACACCGAAGGCCTGATAGCTTTGCGGGTGCTATAGCTGACAAACGTGGTTCCAAGTGTCTCCATATCGTAAGCACCCTGTAGAAAAAATAAGGCTGTAAATCAACTCAGCCAAACGAAAAACAAAAGGGGGGGGGGAGGGTACGACGAGAAAGCAAGAGAAAGAGAGAACCAGGATAATATTGCCCTCTGCACGATGACGACTGAGCGGAAGCGTCGTGGATAGATATAATTGATGCAAAGTGGCCGCATTTTTATCACTTCTCTAGAACGTGTAGTCAAGTGTTTTTCTATGTAAAACCAACTCGCCCCAAAATCAGTGCTTTCTCATCGATTCAGGCGTGTTTTAGCTGATCTATGCGGAGTTGTAAGTTGAGGTGCGCCAGAGGCTTGACACGACTAAGAGGTGGTGGCGGTTCCGGATTGGGACGATGATGACGATACTGTTCTTATGTGCTGGAAGGACAGTTAACTACCCGTGTTTCTCGCTTTGAAGTCGACTTGAGTGGTAGCCGCTATGGTTGCAGTTGATTCTCTGTAGATTTCTTCCAAAATATTTATATATGCTTCGTCGACACACTAATTCCGCAGTGTCTGCATGACTGCTGATATTTATACTGAATCAAACGCCTTCTCATAATATATGAAAGCTATGTATAGTGGTTCACTGTATTCTGAGCATTTCTCTATTACTTGATTGATAGTATGTATGTGGTCGATTGTTGAGTAGCCTGTTCGAAATCCTGCTTGTTCCTTTGGTTGATCGAATTCTAATGTTGTCTTAATTCTGTTAGCAATTACCTTTGTAAATAGGCTGTATACGACGGAGAGCAAGCTGATCAGCCTATAATTCTTCAAGTCCTTGTCATCTCCTTTCTTATGTAATAAGATGATGTTAGCATTCTTCCAAGATTCTGGTACTCTTCCCGTCAGGAGACACTTCGTAAATAGGTGGCTAGTTTTTCTAACACAGTCTGTCCTCCGTCTTTCAGCGGATCTGGTGTTACCTGATCCTCACCAGCCACTTTGCCTCTTCGCATTCCCTCCAAGGCTTTTCTGACTTCTATCATTACTAGTGGGATTCCATCTGGGTTACTGCTAGTTCTTGTATTGAGGTCGTGGTTGTCCCGGCTACTGTACAGATCCCTCTAAAACTTTTCCGCTATCTTAACTATCCTATCCATATAAGTAGTTACTTTGACTTCCTATCCTATCCATATAAGTAGTTACTTTGCCTTCCGTCTTTTAGTGTATGCATCTGGTTCTTGCCTATCCCAATTTTCTTAATCCCCACTTGGACACTTTCTCCGTTATTTAGAGCATGTTCAATTCTCTCCATGTTATCGTAATTAATCGAAACTGATTAATAAGCGCAAGGTACCGACGTAGGAAGGCATACCTTCTTACGTCGCTACCTTACGCTTATTAATCAGTTTCGAAAAGAAAGTGACAAAATACTAATCAGGAATGGTGTGAGGCAGGGGGTACAATCTCTCCAATGCTATTTACCGCGTGCTTACAGGAGGTTGTCAGAGGCCTTGAATAGGAAGAGTTAGGGATACGAGTTAATGGAAAGTATATTAGTAACCTACGCTTCACCGACGACATTGCATTACTGAGTAACTCAGGGGATGAATTCCAACTCATGATTACGGAGTTAGACAAAAAGAGCGGAAAGGTAGGTCTTAAGTTTACTCTGTAGAAAACGAAAGTAATGTACAGCAGCCTCGATCGGAAGAGAAAAGCGCTTCGAAATAGGTAATAGTGGACTTGAAGTTGTAAATGACTTCGTTTACTTAGGACAGGTAATAACCGTGGAGCCGAACTACGACTTTGAAGTAACTAGAAGAATATGAATGGAGGGGAGCACATTTTACAAACACTCTCAAATCATGACTGCTACATTGCCACTATCCATCAAGAGGAAGGTATATAACAGCTGCATCTTGTCGGTACTTACTTATGGGGCCGAAACCTGGAGGTTTATAAAAAGGATTCAGCTTAAACTGAGGGCGACGGAGCGAGCGATGGAAAAGAAAATATAAGTGTAACCTTAAGAGACAAAGAGAGAGCAGAGTGGATCAGGGAACAAACTGGGATTAAGGATATCATAGTTGAAATTAAGAAGAGGAAACGGACATGGGCTGGGAATGCAGCGCGTAGGCAAGATAACCGCTGGTCATAAAGGGTTACTAACTGGATTTCCAGAGAAAGCAAGCGGGTAAGAGGGAGACAGAAGGTTAGGTGGGCAGATGAGATTAAGAAGTTTGCGGGTATAAAGTGGCAGCAGCAAGCACAGGACCGAGTTGACTGGCGGAATATGGGAGAGACCTTTGTCCTGGAGTGGACGTAGTCAGGCTGATAGGGATGATGAGTAGTAGCCGTATTTCGCAAAAACTCTTCTTTATTCTCCTTGAGTACTGGGGTAATTTTGGGGGGATGTTTACTGAATGGCAGTTAAGTCCAAATATCGGAAATGTTGGACAGTGATGTTGCTAGTGCTTTACATTCTTTTGTGTAGGGTGTGAGTGGCTATGTTTCAGAGGATGCGGTAGTGAATACATACATTTTCAGGTTGTCTAATTAAGGACGTACTTACTGTTCTGTATGTAAGATTGTAGATAGCAGGTCTCAAGAGATGTCTAAAAGTAATAAGTGGACTAAAATTAACATCAGGAATGTTGAAATCAACAAATATGAAATAAGTAACACTAATAAAAACAAACGTAAAATAGCATACAAAATCAATAAATGATCTAATTAAAATAAAGCATTCAATGTATGCATTGATATAAACACTGGAGTGCGACACTCTCGGAAAGAAAGTTGCTTCTCATTGAGAGCTTTTGTACCTGCTGCTCATGTTGATACAAGGCTGGTGACTACTTTTTGTCAACATCTGCAACAAAGCTTACTTCAGTTCATGTGCAAATTACAAGGAACAGGATATCTGACATGTACTTAGTGTACTTACAGCAAGGAGCTCCGAGAATTCTCACCAAGCCCGTAGTTTCTGCGTTACCATAGTTTGGTATCAGAGTCAAACAGGTAAGCTAGTTTGGTCTCGTGGTAAACACACGCTTGAAGTGCTTGCTTTTTTTCTCTTCGAAAGCTAATATATCAGCGCAACATGTGCAGTTACCTAGAGTTAGGATGATGGCAACGTTCGATGCGGGAACGCTGACGGCGATTTTGAAGGGGAACCCTCGCCTGACCACGAGCGAAGGCGCGTTCCCTCGGAGTATCTTGAAAGGCTCCGTGTGGTGTGCGACCGCGTTCTCCTCGAAGAAGAGGTTGAGGCTGACGCCGCCACCCCCTTGAGCTGCACGGCCAGAGAGAGTATTTTGAGGACAACCTAGCACTCTCGGGTATACGTCACCATATACAGCATACTCACGTGTTTTTACCAGCCTCTGGGGGTTCATTCATGTCAGTGCACGCTTGTTTCTACTGCATATATGCTGCTCGTTATAAGCCCATAAACACATTAATATACCACAGACCATTTGAATATATGTGGACTAACAGTTAATGTGCTACTAATAAGCAGTTTTCTCTTGCACGTTCGTGGTAGGTGTACCCGTCTATCGACATAATGCTTAGAGAGCACTGAGCTCTTTGAAATTGTATTTTTTTATTACTTTCCATCATTTATGCGACGCTTTTAAAGGGTGACAACATGTCGGGAAAAGACCAGAAAAGCTGTCTCGGGAAGCTATTTTTCTCTTTTGCTAATTGTAGGAAATTACGACAGGGATTTAGATTAGTTATATTGAGGTTTATATACAAAGTCGGTTGTGCATGCACATTGGGGGCACAACATGTCATATGAGCACGACGTGGAAGCGAAGTCTCGTACCTTCAATTCCACCATAAAGCTATCTGTTTAAGCTGACTGCAAGACATTTAAAGTACATCCATGTCATGTAGCCTGTTGGTAGCCTGATGCAGTCATATGGACGTGGCTTAACAGCCAAGAAACGAAAAGAGAAGATATCATCTCTGAGCGCTGTATTCAGTGGACATCTTTCCGTGTTTTGATATACATGGTCACTTCACTAATGTTAGCAAGAATAAAGAGAAACTAGGGAAAATCAAGTAGGGAAGTGTTTATAAAAGGCGACGCAAGCTGGTTCACATGCTGATCCTCTCGATCTGTAATCGGTGGATAACATTACCACTGAGCTTTGCGTGCGATGTAATGCGTCGATACTGCTCCCATAATCCACTCGTTTAATACATAATCACGTTGGAAACCGCCACCCTAACGCACTGCCACAGTAGTCTAGTGGCTGAAGCTGCTGACTCGCAGCTCGCGGGGTCGAATTTCGGCTGCAGTGGCTGCATTTTTGATGGAGACGAAAATGCTGTAGGCCCGTGTGTTCAGATTTGGGTGCATGTTAATGAACTCCAGGTGGTAGAAATTTCTGGAGCCCCCCACTACGGCGTCTCTCGTAATCATATGGTGGTTTTGGGGCGTTAAACCCAACATATCAATCAACCACCACCCTAACGTCCGCAAGGAGTATTTCTTGGACAAGGACACGTTCTTGACTGATATATGCTCAATGGCCGCCTGGGCGTCTGGCTCAGCGAAAGTATACATATGACCTAAATATGAGAGATGCTGGCCTTTGTGACACCATCGAAACATTTTTTGCCATTTTTGTGTCCGTCGAAGTCCTGTTACTTGCACTGCGCACACCATATTGAAGATATACCACTACTTACATACGTAAACGTAGCCCAGTTGTAGAATTCAGCGTCTTGAAATGATTGATTGATTTGTGGGGTTTAACGTGCCAAAACCACCATGTGATTATGAGAGATGCCGTAGTGGAGGGCTCCGGAAATTTCGATCACCTAGGGCTCTTTAACGTTCGCCCAAATCTGAGCACACAGGCCTACACAATTTCCGCCTCCATCGGAAATGCAGCCGCCGCCACCGGGATTTGATCCCGTGACCTGCGGGTCAGCTGCCGAGTACCTTAGCCACTAGACCACCGCGGCGGGGCAAGCTTTAAAATGCTGCCCTGGTGTTTAATGCCACTAAAGTAATCAATTTCGCAAGGTCTATCGCAACAGACGCAGACATCACCCTTATACGCTTTGTCTACTTCGCAATGTTTCTCCTTAAGCATAATCTCTTCTGTGGTTGCTTTATAATGAAAAAAAAAATAAAAAAATAATAAATAGTCACGTCATCTCACTCTCTTTTAATTATTTTCTGTTTCAAAAATATTTTGTGAGTTGCACTGTTGGACGCGTCGTACTTAGACTGACTCCTCATTTCACAAGGTAATATTGGAATGAAACGACTTTCTTCACAATAAATTGAAAGTACATGATTATATTTACTAAAAGTGTTGCTACGCCAAATGATTCGTAAGATTAAAAATTGCAGCTTGTGCCGACTAACTGGGTACATGTTATTAAAGAATGTGAGCGGCCACTGGTGCAAAATGCTGTGAAGGAGGGAGGGGAGGGGGGGGTTTAAGTTAGGAACAAGGCCTTGCGTGCAGAAAAGGAAAAGGCGTTTAATAGTGTATGCCCGCCAGCTGCAAAACTATACGTATCGTAGGCAAAGGCGGTCGGTCAACGGTGAACAGCACTTGGCGAACTAAACGCCGATCAATAAGTTATGTACATTAGTAAAGATCGTGTCAACATAAATTTCATGTTGTTCTGTTGTCGGGGGAGGGGGGGGGGTTCTAACCGAGAAGATTCTAATTTTGCCCTAGCAAAAGAGCTGTCGTGTGTATCAGTCATGTCAGCCTCTCTGAATAGGAACCTTTAGACCTCGATGTCTATTTCAGAGATCCCGTAACCTGTTTATCCGGACGGGAGAGCAGAGTTTTTTTTCTCTTGCCTGTGCGCATTCTTACAAAGATGAGAATCGCATCCCCGTAACACCTTAGTAATAAGTTTCATAAGATATGGACACTCAAAGCAAATAGATCAAGCTGTGTGAAAAGCTGATTGCTGCTCGTTGCGTGGAAGGTGCGGGAATACCTTTTTTAATTACGCATTTATGCGGTGCTCTTTATGAGGAGCGTTGTTGTACGAGTGAGCTACCAACTGAGATTGCGTGTGGACCCATAAATCTTTTTTCACAATAACTGGCATCTGCGTGAGGGACAAATGCTGGGTTATTTTGTTGTGTGGAGACTATGTTATTTTAATTTACGCAAAATGTTTTCTCGGTCGATTTGTGTTGGGATGTATTCATGTCTTGTGCATTTGTACTTTTTTTTGTCTGACTGATACCTAAAGCAATTCTAGATCACTCATTAGTACACTTTTATAAATCTATGCGCACTTCTAATATTGTTTACATGTTGTCACTCGTTACTGTGGCTGTTGTGATTGTACCTAATGGGACAGTCCTGCGATAATAGCGAAAGTGTGGCTATTTGGTGGTTCATACTTGGGAAGTAAAAACAGGGCCAAAATATAGACAAGGACAGAGGAAAAGACGACACCGCGCTGATGTCCTCTGTCCTTGTCTATATTTTTGCACTGTTTTCACTTCCCAAGTATGAACCACCAACCAGCCCAACTTTTGCTATCACTTCAATTTATTTCTTGTGCATTGGGCTCTTCTCTCTATCCCAATCAGCGTGGTGTCGTCTCTTCATCTGTCCTTGTCTATATTTTCGCGCTGTTTTTACATCCTAAGCACAGTCGTGCGTGTTAGCGAAAATAAGCCATTATCTATTAGAATATTATAGTCATCGTCTATTGTTTCCCTTTACATTTCTTTGAAAACAAAAAAAAAAAGAAGTTCTATGTGGTTTTTATTTCCAGATGGTAAACCTAAATATGCGAGTGTGATAAGATTTGAACATCTCTCTATTCAGGTGACCATATATACTCTGAAATATGCGCACGTAAGAGACAAAGAAGTCCTGGGAAAGATGGAGGTTTTAACTGGTGAGAAATAGCGGAACAGGGAATGTCGCCGGATCTAACATTCCGACGAAAGGACTGTTCGCTAAGGCGAGGTCAAGTCTCGTTGTCGAGTCTTCTGCTCCAGCGACATTTCATGTTGGGCGATTTCTCATCGCACACTCAACTGGTATGATGAGAAGTGTATCCAGTAGAAATTAGTTGCAGGGAATGCATGGAGGTGGCATGGGGAAGTGTGGGGTGGGTAACCTAACGGGATACTCCGTTGGGACAATGCGCATAGGACGATGCACATATGCGTAGAGGAATTCGGACGGGCAGCATAAACGCAGATGACTAAGGCAGACACGTGATGTTGTCAAGAGATTCGCACAGACCTGTTGATTCATGGAGTGCTCGAAGTGATCACTGGTGGGACGTAAGGGCTGTGAAACCGTAGGTGTAAAGCTTGCCGTACGGTATGGATTATTATGTGAATTCTCGCCACAGATGTGGGCTACGAAAGTGCGTGTGGGCTATTTGTGCACGGTGTTGAAGGAACGCTGAATTCAGCAAAAAAACAAAAAAACAATCTGGGTGCTGGTCGCACGTAAAGTGTATACACCACGTTTGAGTACAATTGTAAGTAAACTAATTGCTGAAGGCACAGTGCACATCGCATACAACAATGAACACTTTGCCTTAGTGGTGGCCAGTGTGTGCATAAAAGAGGGCGGTGGTCTGCGATCGTACTGGAGCGTTAAAGCGACGCACAACGTGTGACCGTATACGTACCCGATATCTCGGTGAGCGACCACCATAGGAGAATTAATGGGCCGGCAAACGTGGCGGCCAAATGTCTGGACGCACTGGTCATCACCGGACAGTGTCCCTAGAACACACAGTACCTAGGCAAGGGTGCTGTAGCATGTCTAACGCGAAGCCATCGTCAGAACGGCCTTGACGGCCTTGGCAAGTCCTTGTAGCGGAACGTCTTTGATCTGCACGGCCCAGGTTGGCTCAGAGACGTAAAGCCGGCCGGGGTCCTTGTGCTTCACGTGCTTTCACAATGCTGCACAGCCCCTGTCGAGTGTCTGGGCGCAGCTCCGGTTACGTTTTCATTCCCCGTGGGTTTTAGAGCTCGGAGTGTCAGCGATCACTCTGCCGGAGACGATCTGGCCGCCTTCAATCGCTTATCGGCGTCGCCTTGCGTTCGGTATTCCCAGAAGGCTTCGCCTTTTCAGTGAAATATATTTTACCCACTATATACTTGGGTAAGGAAGGACGCATCGCTTTCGGCGGCGGTTCTTGTTTCCACGGAGACAGCGGCGTGCAGCTGCCGGTTCACCTGCTCCTCATGTTTGTGTTGATCGAAATGATGCTTGTTTATTTTGGTCTCTTTTCTTCACCCGTCGTTCGGAGAGCATATCAAATCGGGAAGTGGAGGGGCGTGGAAGAGTTTCCCTTTTTGTATTTTAAGTGTTATTTTCCGCAGACGATTTCTTTTTTTACTTCTCGCGAGCTGGTGTCGCTCAATTGATGTCTGGACGTATTGAATCCCTTCGGCCCTTGAATGAACCTGCGCGCACCAACGATGAATCGTCACTTGATTGAAGACTGCGAGGCGGCCGTAGATCACTTTGACGGCTCCACAAAAGGTGCCGCGTCACGCGCTCCGCTTTCGAAAGTTCGCATATCTTCCAGTGAAGCAACCGCAACTGTTTTTCTAGGTGGCACATTGTGACACATCCCATCGGCGGCTCGGTATGTCCAATAGAGGCGTGCCTCGGGTGGAGGGTGACGGAGTATCGCTTTCTACGCACAGCTGCTCATGCACTGAAAGTGAAAGGCCACACTATGTTACGCACCCCAAGATTTAACGACACAACGTGCTTTCTTTAACGTTATTAACGTTCCTGCTTGTTATTTGCCTCTCCGCTATGGGAAGGCGTTGCTTTCTCACTTGGCCGCATCTATGGCAAATGGCGCTCGCATCGATAAATAACGACGACTGATGTCGCATCCGTAACGCCGTCACAATAACGACCCCTTTCTCTCTCTAAGAGGTTTACGACCCTCGTCTGTTCGTTTGTCGCTCTTGTTTCTGTTGTGAACAAAGCAACAGGTGTTATGCGTTCAGTAACCGCCCGTTAAAAATTGAGTGCTGTTAGAAATAAACGGCACTGGATCTTTTATTACGTGCGAGCCAGCTAAGTCGGCTCAGCGTTTATTTTCGAGCGTCAAGCTCTTGTCGACGTCAGCAGAGTTGATTCGTCTACAGCTTATTTCTCGTGTCGCTCATTTGCTTACAGCCGAAGGCGTGGCCACCTGCCAATTACAGCGGCGCCTTCATGCAACTGACAGCGTTGTCTCCCACTAATAAACTGGAGAGACAAAGAAAACGAAAGTGCAGCTGTTTCGTTCGCGCTCTCAGACCCGTCTTGCGGTGATTTTCAACAACCCACCGCTGCGAGTGAGAAACCTCCATCGCCCGTTAGAAAGGTTACCAGCCTTTTATTTGCCTTAGGTTTGCTTCACTATCAACTAATTTACGAGTTCCACGAACTTAGTCTACAAATACAGTTTTCATTTATATTTTCATCCGCACTCTCCTCAGTTATTCGAAGTCGATCCACCTCTCACCAGCACCTCGCCGGAAATTCATGAATCTTTTTTTTTTCACAAACTATTTCATCATCCTGTACCGGGTAACAAGCTTCTTTTGCTATTACATAATATCTTCTTGGCCATGTTGGAATTAGATCTTGTAGGTCGTTCTTCCTCTTGCATTCATTCAAGGAGGCGCTTTTGCCACATAGCAGAGACGTCTTTTTGCTTTATGTTTGTTTGTGATATCTTTTTTTTCGCCGCCATTTAGTGCTGAGCATCGTCGTCTTCGTCAAATGCGACTGGTGTTTGCTGAAAAACCAATCAACACAATTTCTCAATTCACTGCAGGGCTGGTCGCGTGGTTGCCTCGTTGTAATGAACTATGTCAGCCCGTAATCTGTATTGGCTCGAGACCACACCGTTGTTGCCCTTGGTTTTTGTTCGCGGCGGACCAGTATGATTGTGAGTAAGACTGGTGTGCATGTATCGAGGCCGTAAATTCACGCGTTGTTCGCCATTCACGAGCGCACATTTTATGTGCTGTCACGAGAGTCTGTTTTCACACCATTCTTGTCGGGCAGGCATGCAGTAAAAGCTTCATAACTCTGAACACTCTCCCGACGGACTAGTATAGTTGACCGCAGCCACTGAGCAAATGCCTAAAGAAAACGAGTTGATTACTTTTTTTTTATTGATAAGCGAGGTTCACTTCGGTTCAGCCAATTTTGAGACAGGGCTTTTATGTATCTTCTTATGCTTGACATTGCCTCTCTAAACAAGTGGCCGCTTTACTTTCGTATTTCACACTGCTCCATACAACAGAACGCGTGAATTTTTCGTTCTCCGTGCTCTCTGCATGCATCCACTTTTGAGCGGCGGAAGGGGCCTTTGCACCTGTCTTGAATGATAAGATCGCGGTATTCTGCAGTCTGGTCGATAGTGTCAGTAGCATATACATACTATGCCGTAAATCATTTGAAATTTACTTACCAAAACTAAAAAAAAATAGGCAAGAACTTTTTGGCCACTCACTCAATGCTGTTTCGCGCGGTGTTTGACAACTTGGGGTACAAGCCAAATTATTCCACTTCAAACGAGGCGTTCACGAAATTGCGATTTTAATTTCGTAAGCTCAAGGTTCTGGTGCTGGCAGAATGAGTAAATAAAAAAAGCAATGACAAGAAGCGGCATTCGTCTAGCTATAAAAAGTTGTTGAAAGAATTATCGTTCCGAGAACCAAGTTGGGAGCTTCAAGACATTCCTTTCATGAACGACAGTTTTCATTTGAGCACTCGTAACGAAATTATTAATCAAATAAGGGAAAATATGAAACTCGTTCTACGCTAGGACGAAGAATGGTTGACAATTTCGTTCATCGGGGCTGAAGCACAAATTGTACACGCGATCTGTCAAGGAACGTCTGCTATGGAGGTCGTGACACTTCTATTTACTGGAGCTTGAAAGGGAAAGTACGATATTTACGCACTTGTATTCGTGAATTCGGTTAAAATGTCGAGACGCAATGTCGAACCACTTGACGAGTGAATGTTTGCGCGTGTGTGTAAGAAAAGAAGGTTGATGATTGCTTGCGGGATGGGTTCGGGTCGCGTATAAGCAGTGGAATTTGACAAATTATACATAGATAGACACAAGCAGCAGTCCAAGGTGAACTGTTAAAAAGTGAAGATAAACTAGTGTCGACCACATGGTAACAAAGTGTTCCCGGAAAATTTAAGCACAAATTGTGAAAGTGCGAGACTGCGATTAAAAGAGCAGAACGGTGGCTAGGGGACAGCTGCTAACGGGTAGTAAGAGAGGCTCTCAACATGATTAATGTTTTACCGTAAAAAAGTGCCAGTTGGAGGCGTGAGATGTTTAGGAGCAGAGTCTACTCAAGTTTCCAAATTTGGAAAGCGAAATAGTGAGAGTGGTATCATGACCCCTTAAAAAAGAAGCGCACCCGAATATTTTTTGATCACGTGGAGAAAGCGGAGTCCTGCCGATAGCACCTGAAACATCGAGCGCATTAAAAAAAAAATGATCCACAGATTCAGTTAGCAGGCACATCAAAGTATGGAACACACCTGTCTACCAATCAACTGAATAGAGTGGAAGGAATTGACAAGGTTTCCGAGGAAGAAATTGAGGTCATAAAGATCGAGAAATTTTGAAAATGGGTGATGAAAGAGTTGGGAAAAAAGATAAATAGTGAATGGTGGTGTTCCTTCGTCGGTGCGTTGTCGTGTCACCCATACTGGAATATCGCTGCTAAATTTCTATTTTTTTGGTACTCATTGTAACTGGGTATCCAAGGGTGAAAACATGGGCAACGCACACTTCATGTAGTTCTTAGGCTTTCTAGGTAGAAAGCAAAATCTCCGTAATTGCCCATTGGAGCATCAGCAAACCAGTTCAGTCGCCGTCCTGGTATTACAGCGTAGTGTCACTTTTGGCGAAGACATTTGTTTTAAGGCACCTTCTGTTGCACTTTGTGGCACGTTTGTGTATAGGGAGGGAGGTTTTGCTCATGCTTTCGTGCGGCACATCACAAGAACGATTTTTTTTCTATTTGAATAGTTCAGTTGTGGTTTGACGGAACACCTGCCTTCTTTTTACGGACCTTATCATCCTAAATAAAGTCCCAAAGTTAGATTTTTTTCTTGCAGCGTGTGCAGCATTCCTCAAAAAGACGACCACGAAACTTGCCTCGCGATGTTCGGCTGCCGTGCCTCTTCTTTAAAAAGTGCGTTTTCTGACGACTGAGTAATTTACAGAGTATCATTGAGCAACATAATAACGCAAATGTTCTGCCGGAAGTTGGGATTAATCATATGGTAGACGTTAATATGTATTGTGCGTGATGTTCTAATAATTTATAATGAAATATACACCTTGTGACAAGTAATTCGATGCCCCCAGGATCTTTTATTTAATGTGTACTAAGTCTAACGTATTGAAAATAAAAACAGGCCACTTGTTGCGCCGATATTGCCGTTTTTGTCAGGTGTCGTTGTAGCTTGCAAGAGCTTATTTGACGATGACCACTTTGTTTCCGCGTATGTCGGTGAGCTCCTTGCTGTTGAAGACTGCCAGGATAGACTTTTCGCCAGGACGTTTCGGAATGATTCTGCTCTTGTACTCGAACTTGCCCTTCGCAGGTACGTCCCTGAAAAAGCAATGATAGGAGCGTAGCCATTAATCCAAGTGCTTCGTCAATATTAATGCGATCTCCTGCTCGGACCCGGTCAGTATTAACACCAATAGTATATACTAAGTGAATCGTTGATTAACTTAATCATTCGCATTCGCTTCGGCCGATTGGTACGTGGTAGGTGTCGGGGGAGAATGTTTTTGATGACGGCCAGCGCAAACGAAACACAGACAGTGAAGAGAACGGTGACACAGCGGCTGTGTAATCGTTTTCTTCTCTGTGCGTCTTTCGTGTGTGCCGGCCATCGTGACCATTTTCCAATTCGCCCAACTCGCTACGCTCTTACAGAATTTTTCAGTAGACTTGGTACATAGCAGCGCAATGTCCTTCGTACGCTATAAAATGGCGGGGCCTCCGATTGCTCCTGCGTAGAACAAACATTCGCGGTTCACGTGCACACGAGATAACTGTTGTATGTGTGGTTGTGAGCTTTTAACGCGATAGCGTTAGAGAGCTAGTGTCGCAGAAAACCCGCCGCCGGCGTCGGCGCCGTTGGTTGTGAGTAAAAAATCGTCTGCGCGTCTGTGACCAAAATATAAAGTTACCGAGATTGCCACGGGAGGCCGCTACTTGTCCACACGTGCGCGCGCGATCACACTGAAAAGGCAGCGCATTTGAAGAAAAAAAAGAAGTGCTCAAGGTCACGAGGCTCGGTATAGTTTCTTTGCGCTGCCCCCCCCCCCCCCCCCCTGCTTAACTTCCAGTGCTTTCGTCGGGACGAGAGAAGAGATAATGCAATTGCAGCATGCGACAAACCTTTGTAACTCCACTCCCACTGGAGGGATATTTAAAACTTTTGCGGCGTTGAATTCGTGAGGCAATAAGCTATTTTACTGAATTCACTCCATGGTTACTTAAAAAAAAGTGTTTCAGGGCCCCTTTAACGCATTTTGTTCGACAGGTGTCACGACAAAAACGAGCCTATTCGGCGACAATAGCGCGCGCTGGTTCAATCTACTGGGTGCATGTTTGTGTGCGTGTGTGTGTATGTAAGAAAACATATGAATGAGTATGCACTTAGTGGTTGAAGGGTGCACTAGGGGCCGTATTTCGCTGTCTCATTCAACTTTGAAAGGCCAAGCTTAAGGGTCCCCCAATTTTTTCTTGATTTGCGTACGGCTTTAACAGGACAAAATGACGCGGAAAAGGTCACCAGCTTCGCGCCAGTACACCCTTGTTCAAAGCCGATCAGAAGAGGCAAAATAAAAGTTCACTTGCGTTCATCTATTTTGACGACAACATACAAGTGGGACGTTTCTTCTTCCCCATTATTCAGCTTACCGATCTCTTACAACCTACCACAAGTGACAACACTAACTGCCACATAAGTGCACGTAATATCACATGCATCAGTAGGTGCTGCTGCATTTTGCGTTAGACATCCACTTTTCTTCAGGCGGAATGCTCTGCGAAAATGTCCAACTCAGAGCGTAACTCTGACATGGACGTAGCTGTCTACAATACGTTTACAAAAAGAACTCTCGTGAAACTGAATTGGTTGGTTATGTGGATAGATGTTGGTCTCTGAAAGAGCAGTATAATGCAAATGAAGCTTAGAACGAGAAAAATTTGAGCAATCTAGTCAACACTATAACGATGCGATAGGAAAATAAAAAGAAATTAGGAACAGGGACAACAATATCGCCGGCTCACAGTAGCAGCGGTCACCGTTTCATTTTCTTTTGGCGTGACCGGCGGGATCACCGTTCTGTTTGTATTCAAACAAGAGTGCCAAGGTTTTTTCCCTACAATTAGCTAAACAATCAGCCGTTCCCATTGAGTCTTTAATGTTACTGTTTTTCATTATCTTTCGGGGCAGGGGGGTGGGTGGATGCGCATGTACTTACGCGACAGGAACGACGTGAGATTGTTGCATTCCAGGGATGTCTAGAGTCAGACTACAGCCAGTCAGGGGTACGCTGAGAGGGTTGTCGAAGGAAAGGCAGTATTCCATTGGTCTGGACACACTCACCGGTCCGTGTATCTTTAACAAAAAAAAAAAAAACAGAATAACTTAACAGCGATGTGAGCACTAAGCTGCAAGCTACTACCGGATGTGGAATCAGCCACGGAAGAAAGATAGCTTGTTTCACTTATTTTGTGACACTTCGATTTTTTTTTTGTTGTGAATCTGTATCCCATGAGTGAATGACGCCCGGTCAGGCTTACATGCTATGCAGGTGAACACGTGAGGTACAAGAAATTTTAAGCGTATTTCTTTTGTTGTGAACTGGGAAAAAGATACTGGGTCTGTGCATGAGATATATCATTATATATTACGTATCAATATGATGTGAGAGATGAAGCAAGACATTTCCTAGAATGTTTGTGGGCTTTTCTGTAAACAATTTCTGTATCTTCAGTCTTTTTTTTTTCAAACTAGAGTGCTGAGAATATGCTTAATAGATAATAATATGTGGAGGGTATCAGCAAACGACCTCCACCAATTTCTGATAAGATGTAAAAGACACAACTGAGGGCTGAAATGATAACCAACTACATGTTGATTCGACTACTGCGGCAGAAAAAAGTACACCAGCATGCATGACGTGCTATGACTCTAAGTGCCATGACGCTAATATTGTGGTTACCTTAAGATAGTATGACTGCAAATGAAGTAATGCCATCATCTTGAATCGTAGCGTAATGTCTTGAGCTCGCAGCTGGTGTTTGGTTTCCAAGTACATGTTCTGTATACCGTGCTGCAGATTATCACTCGCGCAGATAATTATTCCGCCGAGATTTCTTTCCGTGTCAGCTATATGTCCTTGCATATAATGGTAAAGCAGATTTAGAAATAATTTCACATGTAATGTACACGTAAACAGAAACCAACCTCATATACCCACGATAAACTTGGAAGAACAGGTTGAACGCATTCGTCTTACTTATGTCACACTTCGATTTCTTCATGCGCCCCAGTATTTTGAGAGAAAAAAAAAACATTGTTTTGTAGGGATCTTACCTGCACGTCGATGGTGGGGTTTCCGATGGTGATTCTAGTCTGGCGGTACCAAGTACCGTGGCCGCTGCCCTCGTAGCTGCCGTGGGCGAACAGTTTGACGACATTCTGTGGGGCCAGCTTGAGTTGGTATTCGTCGGCAGTCACAGTCAGGCATACAGTCTCGGCTGCACAAGTTGCGTTGTGTTAGTACGACATCCTACACGTATCGAGAGACTTGAATCGTGATAATTCATTGCACAAAATTGTGTTGCACACCCTTTAATAACGATGCTAATAGTATGGTAGGAGGGTTGTGTTTAGTGCTTGCATTTTTCTCGTCAGCCCTATAAATATCTCGCAGAGGTCAAAGGCTGCGGGTAGGCTGCTGTATGTGTTGCTCTTAAATAGCTGAGAACTTTGAGGAGTATCTGCTGGTTAATAGCCTTTCTTTTTTGTCAATTTAAAATGTGCTTATAAAAATAAATGTGAGAGTTCAATCGTAACTGCTATATGATGATTCGGCTACAATGCGAAAAAAAAAACAAAGAAGAAAAAGAAAGAACACATATAGGTGGGTGGGAAAGAATAAATGAAGAACTAAATTCAAGTTTAAACAAAGAATGCAAATTAATGCTGATACATAGCATGTCAATTAAGGTACAAATTTGTCTTAGTTTTACTGAACTAAATGAAGTTCTCGGAACTTCGGAAACAGCGCTAGGATGGGACAAATAATGAAGCCACAAGACGAAATGTTTCAGCGCTTTGTCTTGTCGCTTCCTTCTTCCCGTCCCAACATTGTTTTCAGAAGTACATTATGCACCATCGAGCCCGCATTTATATTCAATAGCAGTTCTCACCTTTCTCAATCGATTTGTTTCTTTGCCAGTGGTTGTTTCGTTGTGAAGTGATAATGGACGTTTAATTTCGATTATGCTAAACCCCGTCATGCGTTGTGTTTTGATCTTGTCGAAACGTTCACACGTTAAATTAAAAAAAAAACATCATGTGATGTGTCTTAAGACTACAAATTGCCGTTCTTTGTCGATGCCAGCGTCTACTAGTTGCATTCGTCAGGTCGAGGTAAGAAAGCATGATGCCGTAGAGCAACAGGTGAATGAAACTGAACGCAGTCTTGCCTTAACGGAGTTACCTGGACTTCGTTATCAGCTTTAACATTCACAAAAGTCAGATGTCTTACTCTTGCCCGGCGGCACCTCGACGTTGAAGCTCTGCTTCTTGAGCAGCTTGTACTCGCCGCCGGTGTAGAAGACCGAGTGGGCGGAGAGCGTGAGTGTGACCTTGCGGGGTGTCTTGGACTGGTTCGTGCAGGTGACGGCCAGCCGGACCGGCTGACCTGCTAGCACCGACGAGATCTCCTCCATCTTCATCTCGACGTCCTCAGGAGGTGGTGCGCCGGACAGACCCATCACCGACTTGTTGGGCTTCACTGCAAGCAGGTGATTATAGACCGAGTATTATTACTAGTGTTTTTAACCTAACATAGAATCAAGAACAGAGGAAGAAACGTACTGGCAAATGACAACCAGAAACTTATGAAATCTTTCCTACTCCCCTGGGTCAAGAGTTTTGAATGAACGACAACAAAGCTAGAATTAAAGGGTAATGAAATTACAGCAAAAAGAGAGCCAATATACCTCAGAACAGTCATTCGTGCCCATATTATGAAAACAATGCAAAAGTTTTCCACACATTTGTTGAAATTTATTTTACAGTGATTTTCGTAAATATTGGTAACACCACCGAAAAGATGTGAGACTACTATGTATGAATTCGCTGCCAAGCATTCTTGCCTTCAGTAACTCGGCCTATAAAGGGTCTACTTTCTTAGCGACTAGTTGGCTTACATACTTGTAAACGCAGTTCATAATTTCGTTTGTTTCTGAAGTTTAACGTTCCAAAGCGACTTAGGATATAAGAAACGCTGTTGTGAAGGGCCCCGGAAAATTTCGACCACGTGGTGTTCGTTAACGTGCACTGACATTGTGCGGTGCACAGGCCTGTGTAGCCTTTCGGCTCCCTGTGAACGTTGCCGCCGCAGCCGGCATCGAACACGCGTTTTCCCGGCCAGCAACTGCGCAACGTAACAGATGAGTGGCCTTCAATAGCCAATTCCACGCATTCCTTGTGACAAATATAAAAGCTGTATATTCCCGACGATCACGCCTCTCCCTTAATAAATATACATACCTGGTCCCAGGACATGGCATCACTGAAAAAACGATCGGCGCTTCAAGCTGATATGAATAAGTTATTGCAGTCTCAAGTATTTAGCGTCACGCTTCTGGTGCAGCTCGCACTATTCAAGCCTCTGTTACGTTTGATTACTGCAGTACTTAACGCTGACGTCATTCTAACCTCCGCCGCAGTCACCCACTTCGCCCTTGGCATGGAGATATCTGTAGTTCTTCATTCAAGTTTTTCATTTGGTGTTTTCATTCTTTGTCCTATACTCTATCTCTCATCTATTGCCATTTGACGCTATAAAAATATCACGTTCTTTAGTATGGTTTGCAGGGCCAATCATCTTGTCTTTTTTTCCAAATAACTATTTTGCATGTAGAGATAGGTGTTCGTGTGTATGAGATTTTGCTTTCAGCAGACTTGGTTATCTACTTTAGTTTATTTTGCCCATTATTCATTAAGGTGCTGTGAAAGCCATGGTATATAAGATCAGTATATAATACTAGCGTCAGCATGTAAGATGCCCTTACGATTTCTTAGTTTTCTTGTGTGCATTTAGCGTCATGGGCCCACGCGAGACGCTATGACACGATGGGACGGGATTTATTATTGCGATAGCAAATATATGGACACTCTTGGCTAGATTTCACCACCAGCGTCACCGTCACTCACCATATATGTACACGTATCTATATATATGAAAACGCAAGAAAGAAAAAAATTCTGAAAAAACAATCTGGCACGCGGAATCGAACACGGAACCTCTGAGTCGTGAATGCTAGGCGTTAACCACTGAGCCATAGAGGAAAACGTCCTTCAGCGTTTAAACGGCAAGCTGCTTATATCTACCACTTACCTCTGGTGATGGGCATCTCGAGGGGGGGGGGGATTATCGTGTTTTCAGCATTACCAGCAAGATGGCACAATGAGCGCGCGACGGCGCGCGCTCTCATCTCCTACGCGCAATTTTCCCCGCAGAGAGGAGAAGGTAGACGCTCGCTCGCGCGCCCTTTTCTCGCGGTGGGGAGGATCGAACGTCTTGGATGGGCTGTGGTTTTCACCGGAACGATTCTACTGTAGTTACTGGGCGCACAAAGGTCACCGCAATCGTTGCCCAGTCTCCGTTTGCGAAAACACCGCGCTTTTCAGACACGGCGAAGTAACAACTGAGACGCTTATTCGCGTTCATCTGTACCTGTGAGTACGTTTTGTGCATTATTTGTGCTTGATAAACGCGGGGCACGTTTCAATCTGCTTGCCACTCTGCACGTGACCTTCCCATTTGTTGCTATCGCGTCCATTGCTTTGCCTTTGCGGCAAAGTTGTGACATTTTCTTGTCATTCGTCCCGTGCGCTGTGGTTGCGCTACACACCATGCAAACAAACTTGGGCGTGCGCAGGGTTTCCCACCAGGGTAGGCAAAGGTTCATCACAACACCCCCTATCCTTACTTAGGGAATGTATGGGGCAGGCTTCGCTCTCTCCTCTCTATATTAGGTGACGGTCGCCACCACCCCCCTCTGCCCCCTCTCCCTTGCGCACGTTAAAGCTGACAACAAACGCACCTTTGTTCCCTTTGGAGACACTGTGATACCTATAAATAAAGATGCCTGATACCTTACAGTACAGTGGGAGACAAGTTAACAAGCTTTTTTCACTGTTGCGAAAGAAGGTTATGGGTCGAGTCTCTCTGTTGGTTTACTAAACGTAAGGTAGGGAAAGGAAGGAAAAGCCGTCGGTACAGACAGAGTTTAGCGAGTGTGAAAGCAGGGCTGGCTGTCCTGTGCCGGGGTCAGAAATATGAGGAAGTGAAGATGACATGAAGAAGTCTGATATGTAAATAAAGTGATTGAAATAGAGAGAAAATGCGAGCATGACCACTTTTTTCACGGTGATGGGGCTGCAGCGCCAGTTAATCGCTTTACCTTTGACACCCTTGTACAGCTTGGTCAGGTCTTCGGCATCCTCCGCCGTATGCTCAGTCATCTCTCCGATCTTCTTCGTGTAAATGAGCATTCCCGCGCTGCTCAAAAAAAAAAAAGAAAAGGCGAAGAAAGGTATGAACAAATTGAACAAAGATGCTGTCAATATAAGGTTAACGCTTTCTGAGTGTTTGTGGCTTGTACATGCGGGGCTGCGATAGACTATACGCTAAATGAATGTTTAATGGAGTTTTATGGACGGAAAGCGTAAGTATGCGTCCAGGTCACTGTAGGCCATATGCCGTGGGAGTGGAGCCTCTACTAGGGAGGGTACTTAGCTCTTTGAACCTTATGCGCCACAGACTACAGCAAAAAGAAAAGTTTCGCTGGTTTGGAAAATGCTGCGATCTGGCAAACGTTAATATGCTTGCTTCTATAGTACTCATGATCGCAATAAGTATACTTGCAACCATCACAGACATTTCACCTAAATGCGTTTCCAGTACGATGCCGTCGGCTCGGTGAGCAGCATTTCGGCAGCATTTATGTTACCACGATAATGTGTTATGCCACAAATCTTTGCACCAAGTTATAAAAACTGCATTCCAGTAAAGGGTAATATTACATTGGTCGGGGTTTTACGTCACAAGACCATGAAATTACAGTGAGAGACACCGCAGTGAATGACTCTGAATATTTCGACCATCTGGGTTTCCTAACGTGCATCTAAATCTGAGCACACCACCTTCTGGCGTTTTTTCTTCATAGAAATGACACCCCCACAGCCGGGACTTGATATTGCGACCTTTGGTTCAGCAGGAAAGCACCACATAGCCACTAGATAACAGCCGCAGGTTCCGGTAGAATATAAGGTTAGAAAAGTTCAAGATTCATTCACGTATGCAGCTAATGTGGTCAAATGAAACAGCATCAGTATACATTGCTGGTTGTTGACTGAAAGTATGAAAGAAGGATACGTAAATCTGGTGGCAATAGAGTATACTGAAAATCATACGTTATACGTTCTTTTCAGCAGACTTAAACGTTGATGATAACAATAGAGGTGTATCTTCTCCCCTATCATTCTATTTCCTCAAGATTTTATTATTCACTGATGATGCGGCAAAGCCGAAATATCGAACAATGATGTACGCTCAATCTTAAACGTTGTCTCGTCTTTTTATTGTCTCTGAACTTCACGGTGACAGCAGTTGTTAACTAGGAAAGACGTCACAACAGGAAGCTTTCATCAAGATAGGAGCGAACTGCAAAATTAAGTGTAGAAGTAACGTCCCGAAAGTCAAAAGGCGGCTGCAATGAAGGAATAGGTAGTGAAGGGCTCAGAAACATGAGCACTACAATGCTAGTATCAAAAACTCGGCACACTATATAGCGTATTTACGTTTCACCCCATCATGGAGTCTGTCCCCAAAGCCGAGAATTGAAAATGCGGTGTTGGGCCCCGTAAGCCGACGCTATCCACTGAGCCAGCTCGGAGGGTAAATGTGAGCTGTTCGCAAATCAAAAGCGTCGTTTCACCATGAGCAATGCAATGAGCGATTACTATAAGCTTCCTGTCTAGGTTTATTGAACACAAGGTAAAACTATTCGGTTTTCGTGAAACTGTCATCGCAAAATTAAACTTCGGGAACTTCTGAGTAAAGGTGACATACACATACGAACACACTTTACATATATAAGCGGGTACTTAGACCTATACTGTTCAGCTTTAATATAGGCTATTGCGCCCTCGCCATCATTAATTGAGCAATTTCCGTAGTGACGCACTGTATAATTGACTTTCTTTGTCATTTCCAGGTTAGGACAAGGTCGTAGGTGCACAGAAAGCGGTAAGCGCGCGCACTTACGCTTCGGCCTCATTGTAGTTCCTGACCGTTGATTGCCTGAACTGTCCGGTGGCTCGGTCACGTTTCCAGCTTACCAGGTCGGCGTTGACTTCAGCGTAGACAAAGCGGGTGTCGTAATCCAGTTCAAGGTGTCCATTGTAGATCGCAGAGACAGGGCACGGTCCCACGCGGAATAGGCCTGTGCAAATGTGAAAGCATCCGATAAGGTAACACATCAGGTCGAAAGACTATTCGCGGATCATATGTGGTGAACGTTAGTGTTCAGTTCAAGAGTGTGCTTTGTGAGGCCATTTTGCGAAGCGCGATACTAAAACGTTGAAGCTTGTGGTCATCCTTGTGTCCCGCATTTCGCACGCCAATACTTCTGATAGTTTTCGTTGACCTGTGTGAGTCTTTTCTGCAGTTTACTTTAACGCGGTAACTGCCAGGACATAATGCAAGATTACCACTGATTTCACCTCTTATTTTGCAATGTAGACAGTAACTATAACCAACGTGACGCCAATTACAGAATTTTTACGTCGTAAATTACATGTATTGCAGTAAGAAAAAAATTATGTGTGTACTAAAACGGGCAACAATTGTTCGTAGCATTTGTGCTATACGACGCCTGCAACAAAATAAATGTCTCGAACTGGTAGGTTCGTACCATCGCTGATTGTCTGTGGCGTAGCGTCGATCACCTGCCAGCCACCGTAATCTCCAGGAAGGTCGGGACGCATCATCCATAGCTCGTTCCACAGGTGGAAGTTCCTTTAGAGGAGAAACGGTACAAGGCTTATGTAAGGCAATATAACCCCAATGATGTAAAATGCGAGAATTCACTTGAGCACGACAAGCAACAATGACAGCTTGCTAGACAATTTCACTGCGAGGTTAGAATCTTTATACCGAAAGACGGACTTTTGCACCCAAATTTCCAAATTTAGCCGCCTCCGAGTTTCCTTACCAGATAGAGTCCTCACTTTTCCCAGCAATAATATTGTCGTTTTCGTCGAAGAAGCGCTCAATGAGCAGGTTTCCATCCGTGTCGTGCGCCGAGGAGAAGTTTGTGATGGACCGGCAGGGGATTCCGAGAGCTCTGCACACTGATGATGAGAAAGATGAACGATACAAAACACCCTAAGCTTGCAGCTTTCAGAGAAGTTTTCATCAAAACATGCATGACAGCAAGCATACTGTGTGCCATATTAATGGAACTCTATGGCTTTTAGCACTGTTCAGGATGACCAAATGAATGGATACGCGTTAATTATGCAAAACACACGAGAAAATATTAGTCTGAATTACTTCTTAGTTTACAACCCACATGTAGGTAGGAAAAACATGGGAGGTGGTGTGGGGACGAGTCAGTGTTTTTTTCTAATGATCACTAATCTGTATTTCTTGAACCTAACAGTACATGTGCCTCTACGTTTAAATGATAAGCTATGTTTCTTTATTTTGACATTTTTGAGATGCTGTGATGACTCATTGCGACATTGCTTCCTTGATATATGTTCTGTCTTTCCTTAATTGTCCGATAACATTTAGAAAGCAATTAGATGTATGATGACATCTCAGCTATAAACAACAACGTTCACTGTGAGACACTTTGCGGCGTTGTGTGAAGCCTTCAGTAGTGCTGATGGTTGTCTATCCTCGTTCTTGGGTGTTTTACTTAGCCCATACATACGTGTCGTTACCAGGCCGGAATAGACCCAGCATTGGCCATACTTGACGGGCGCACCACCAGTGTGCATGTACTGCTCAAGGATGGTGACACTTGACGTCCAGGCAGTCGGGGATACACCGTCGCCGTAGTTGTTGTCCCAAGAACCCACTAGGATGCCGTTTTCGTCCTTCGAGTCGACCTGTAGGATTTACAGAAGATTCTCTGTACGCTAGAGGGTGATATGTCAAGCGGTTTCTTCATTCGCGGGCGCGCCAACACGTACCACTCGTGATCCCTAGGGGCACCGAAAATTCAGTCCACAGAGTCTCTTTCTAGAAGTACTATGGCCTGACATGGGACAGTTCTTGCCCAGCATTGCAACTTTGACCTATAGCTGTGTGCTCAATACAGGCCCTGCTTACAGCGGTGGCCGGGATAGCAATAACGATACGATAACCGCATGAAAATGGACAGCAGGCAACACTTCAAGACAAGTTTGTGAGTATGTCGCCCTTATCTCGAGTATTATCTGAAATCACGGCTACATCTTCCGGTACGGAAATCAGAGATCGCTGCTGAATAGCCTGTGGCGTGTGTAGTCAGGGATGGCGCCAAGTCACAGTTACATTAAGTGTCTTTTGCTTAGAAGGACGTGGCTGACAGTACAGCCGTTGTGATGCTTCGGCCGAAATGATTGCCCTGAAGTGATCACGCACCCGTTTCGTTTCTCTGGCCGGCCACTGCTGTTTTTTTTTAATTGCCGCGATCCTGCTACAAGTGTTTTAAGCGGATACTAAAAGGGAAGAAGGAATTAATTAGATTGTTAAAGTGTTTTTTGAGGACTCTATTGTCGGTAATTATACCCTGTTTACTAATAGAGGAAAAAATCAAGGTCGAAGGGCTGTTTGGAAATTTCGCGCCTAAATCTCCGCGCTGGACGTCACGGATATTATAGTGTACTCGTCGTGTTTTATCCGGGACATTGGCTACGCTAAATTTTTCGAAACTTGCTATATTATGTCTACCGCCCCCTCAGAAGTCCAATATATTTAATTTTTACGGATTAGGAGCTACGTAGGCCCTAGTAAAGGCAGTCAAAGCTTACGACGCCACAGAGTTTTGTACGCGAATTTCAAAGGGGCCTTACCCGCGTTTTCTCGCTTACCAATGGCTTTCTCACGGCTAGCACGGTGATATCAAAATTGTTAATGGGTGAATTACTAATAACAGAAAAATTGTTCTCCTCTTCTGCATCCCTTTAAAGAAGGACTTGCATTGGTTGTTATCATTAGCTATCGTATGACTGAACCCTGTGTACATTTTAAAGGCACAATGCTTTTTTTGCAACCTTCTCCGGGTTAGAAATGATGATAGTAGTTTCTCGCCTACATTGTGAGCTGGACAGACAGCGGTCATAGAAACTCTGCTGTCAAACTGTGGCTCATATTGAAGACAATAGATGCGAGACGCGTGCGAAAGGAGAGGAGTCTTACCAGCGCGGAGAGGGCTCTGGCGACCTTGATTGGTGAGCTTCGGTCACTGACGCTCACATTTCCAAGCTCGAAAAGGTAGTTGCACGTAGGCAAAACGACGTCGGTGAACTGTAACACGGCATCGGTGTGTTGTAAGTTTTAAATACCGGTTGTATTGATTCGGAAAAGCTGTTGCTTTTTACCTGTCCAAAGAACCAACGCTTTCCGGTGGGGTAGTCATAGTTGCCTTGGTATAGTTTTCCTGTTTCATTGAAGATGTACTCTTTCAAAAGGTCTTCCTGTGGCATGTAAACGAGGTCCTCTGAAAAATCAGTTAGTTTAAACAACAATAAATAAATAACCTGAAATAAATTCATCCTAATATCCACAATCCTGAATTACTTCTGTAGATAAATGTTGAAATATGACAGATCCTTGATAGGTTTCCTTAAAACAAGGGCCACTTTTGCTCAAAGAGTACCAAACACTTGGTAGGAATGAATGGATAATGATATGACAAAACACTTGGTGGGAATGGACGGATAGTGATACGATAGGTTGATGTAAATGGCTGTATTAAAGCGTAAAATTGATGGACTAAACATGTATAAGTCATAAAACTGCATCAAAATTATGACAATCATAAGTCAGGGTGGACATAACATTAAAATGCACGCAGTAATAATCAAGACAAGCCTTCCTTGTGTGTAGATGGGTCTTTGATGCCTCATTTTTTAATATCTTAATGCCTCATTCGAGTCCTTGAAAGCAAGGGTCAGGAGGCACATGCAGTAATTATCAAAACCACAGTGGCAGCATCTGGAAAGATGCGGGGCTATGGATCTTTTTAGGTACTTCCGGCAGAACATGCGCATCGTTTAAAAAAGCAGCGACTGAGCTACTGACGATGAGCTCCTGCTCTTAGTAAATCAGGTGAACGACTGTGCTGCACACCTCAGTGGCATGCTGTGAGGTTGAAGCATGTAGAGAAAAAAGCACTTTCCGCAGGCATATCAACAATGTATTCCTCGTAATTTAGTAATGTTAATAGGAGAAGATCCGCTTTTTAGCATGAGATGTCGAAATCGGGTCAGATATAGTCATACAGATTCTCTACGCGGCTATATTTCGGTTTAGTATTGTAGCACATTGTATAAACTATGCTAGCATGTTGTTTTGCCTGCCTATAGGAAAAACTGGGACAATACTAAACAAGACATTTCATTCTTGTATTCATGTGTGAGAATTTATGTCTTAGGCCAGCCTGTCGTTCTGCCTGTCTCTTGGCAGAATGATTATGACAAAGGGCAGCTGTACCAATGGGGTGATGAACGGACAGGGAATAGTTTCCGAGAAAAGGTCAGATATTATTGGACTATTTACTGTTTGACAAAACAACAACAACATACAGTTATGTAATACGTGGTCTTCCTTGTATCGTGTACTTCATTTTCCTTTGATTGTCTTATCTGATTTATGCTGCTTGACACGCCAAACAGACTTCCTCCGAGCCTCGCGTCATGATTTGTTGCGTTAACAGTGATACTTGCATGAACTCCGCACTGACCTGGACACCAGGGGTTGAACAGCACGTAGAAGGTCTCCTTGACGTTGAAGAGACACTTATCGGCGGGGTCCCCGGAACCTCGCAGCCTTGTCTCGACCTCCAGATGCCACAGACCGACCGCGGCGCACGGCGGCAGCATCACCTTGACGGTGACGCTGTTCTTCTCAGTTAGCACCAGACAGATGCTGTAGGGCGAGTTGTCGAGGGAGAAGAACGAGCCACGAGTGCAGGGTACTTCCAGTCGCACGCGACTTCCGTCGGACTCGCTCGGATCGAGACCTGCGCCAAGTGTGTCGAGGAACGGGGCGGTGCGCTGGGTGCCATGAGTATATCGAGTGAACTTCTCGCGAACTCGCGAAGCGAGCTGTCTTAGCAATAACAAATTTGATTTGCAACGCCGTTGATATGGAAATGCTCATTACAGCGAGAGACCCTTCAGTCATGAATGCACACTTTTTTTGGTGGTATACGCAGCTCTCGCTCACTCTCTCAACAATCAAAAACATTTTATCCTTTTCTTCGATAAAAAAGATGACCGCCCATTTTTGTGTGATTCTGGAAGTGCGTCAATTAAAAGTCTAGTCTCCATAGAATGATGCTGCGCACGTAGTAGTTTGGATATACAGTTCTGCATTATTCGTGATATCTCAGAAACAATGATGCTTGGTAAAAATGAAAAAAAAAAAAAACCCGATGTTTCGAGAAATGCTTTAGTAATTTCTCAAAAGTAAAGAAAAAAGGAATATTTGCTCGCCGCCTTCATGATCACTTTTTAGCAGTAGCAGACATACTAAGATGACTGGAGCGATCACTTACAGTTATAGGTATTTGAATGAAAAATTTAACTTTTTCATTAGTGGAGACAGGTTCTCGGGTTAAATGAGATAATAAAAATGCTAACATTGCAGGGAAATGTTCTCATTACTGGCACTGAAATTTGTCAACCAGCTCGGTACTGTCAACGCTTCCGCGAGACAAACGTGCATGAGCGGGCACAGCTGCCGTAAGGGTCACCTGTGTTCAGGATGAGAAAAACTTGGTCCCTGCTTCCGTCGTACTGCCGGTCGAACTGGATGCTGATGGTGACAGGAGCACCACGGCGCACCACGAGCGTGGCATCACTGCTCTGGGTGAGCAGGAACTTGTCGGTCTTGTGGTGGCGGGTGTTGGCCGGTATGTGGTAGTCGAGCTGCTTCACCTGCAGGGGGTTCGTGCCGCCTGCGAACAGGGAACGACACTGATTGGTCGACGCCGCAGGGAATGGCAGTTTACAAACATCGAATATGTCTATACGTGTCCCCGACACTGGGCCAGCCCGACTGCTCACATCCGATACATGGTTTAAATTTGAAATTCGAAGCAGCTTTACGGAAGTGACGTCACGAATGCCTTTTAAATAGTGCGGATTGTGCCAAAACTACTACAGAACAAAACCCAGCGAGGAAATAGCATCGCAATGCCAGCAGTTCCCCTATTTAACCACGCTTCGCAACATTGCCAATAAAACTCTTTTATTTTTTTTTGACAACCAAAGTATGTATTAAGCACACCGAGCTATTAAATCAAGCCAAAAGTGTTCCGCATTCGGCACATGAACGTGTTTAGGAACGTCTCCTCTGGTAAGATTGTATCCCAGTGCACAATATTTAGCTTCTCTGCGAAAAGGGTGGTTGTTCAGTCTGTCTGGTACGTTCAAGATTTCTGTATTTTGAGAACTGTTGTGAAGATGGTCCAAAATGAAACGCGCAATGTTTCCCTAAAACCAGAGTGTTTATATTCAGTATCTTTGACCATGCATTTTCAGATAGAACAGGCATTCGTTAAGGCTCTACGTCAATGCTCAGCTGGCGTACATGCAAAAAACTTTAGGTCTGCCTTTTCTTTTTTATCTCTAACTTAGGATGTAACTGTTTCTTTGACGCTTTTGTTTTGACTTTCTTGTCTCTGTGAAGAGGTGCTAACCTGCCTTTCTGTCGGAATCATGTTGCTTCCTTTGCACCTCAGCATTAAAATAGAGGCGCCAATCTTTTTGCGCCACCAAATGATTTGCGAATACATTTGCGTATCAGTAGTCGCATGGTATGCTACGCTTGCCATTCTAAGCTCATGCACAAATTATTCGCGACTGTGTTGGCAAGCTCGGCATGCAGTACCTGTGTGCGCCATGAGGCGCGGCATGCGGTCGAACTCTGCCCCGGAGCGGAGGCTCTCGATGACGATCTCCATGTACTGGAGAAAGTTGCTGTTGGCGAGCATCCGCTGCCGCAGCATATCGAGAATAGCCTCGTCGCTGGTGTCCATGGTGCTCCTTTCTTGAATCTCTCTGTGTTACAACGGCAGAGGCCGCGAGCTGCGTGTGATGACGGACCTTTAATTAATCACTCAAATGGTCGCGGCCACTCACGTGAAGTAGCTGCACACTGCACTGTAATAAACAGCTAATTGATCAAACTAAATTGGAAATTTTCAGAGGACCATTACCTGCTCTTTAGGAACAGTGTTAGACAAGAATAAGTCTCTAATACCCCAGCAAAATGTTTGTAAGATGTTGTCACAAACGCTCTCCCAACATCACGGAAGCATATGCCTTCTTCACTATAGGGGCCTTGACGAATACAAGTTGTAGCACCACTTGATCGGTGCTCTGATCGCACCGACAGTGTGTAAAGCGAGTATTCTCCATGTGTTACGAAGTGTGCGTGGCTAAAATAGCGGCTGAGTGATAGTGCGTAATAGAAGATAAATTTCTTCTTGAAAAGTCAACATATAAAGCGCCCAGGGCATGATTCGACCTCTGAAGGGAACAGCTAGCGTATTATCTTCAGCGTATTCTGTGACTTCCTTAATTTCTCCGATATATGCCATTTGAGGTGCGTCACAGAAGATCCGCTTGTTTTTGGTCAGTCCATTAGCATTAAAGAGAGCCACTTTGAAAAACTATGGAACATCTCCCCGAAGGAAACCATAATAGGATGCGAAGCAGCAGTGGTGCGCTGCTGACCCGACTGAAACAGACGTCGACACGGGTGCTGGAAGAACGGTTTAAAGCGAAACTAGGTGTAGCCTTTACTCGAGTAAACGTTTATTTGGAACGCAAAGACACGGAAGGCGGGTTGGGTTTCGTGTAAGTTTCATGGCAGACAAACGAGCCGCAAGAGTGTTGCCGTGCGCTCGAATGTTGCGAGCGGTGGAGATGGTGAAGCGAGAAAGATAACACGCGGCAAGTGGCGACAAACTAGAGAGAAAGTGACGTCAACGCACACACATTGCCAGAGAAGGCGTGACCTACTTGGCACCACCCCAACACCTGCGGCCAGGAGAGCGCGGTGTGGACGAAGGGACAGCGTTACACAGGTTAGTCAAATAGCTGCGTCGCGTCTAAAAGAATGATGTGTAATCCTTGCATAACCACGTAGAGGCGTGAGCATAAGTGTGCAGACCATGGAATCGCGTGGCTAAAGGCATCGACGAGCTATATCGACGAGACGCCTACTGCGGTGCGCATGGGCGTCCGGTCGTATAAGTTGGCCTCTCATGTCACTCTCTCCGACGCGCTCATAACGAAATCGACAACTAGGTGTCGCTGTCTTTGCTCCACCAAACTTGTGCCATTTTTCTCTTTTTCTTTTTTTACATAGCTGCTCTTACGGCACCAGTTTTAACACCGGGCTCACGTCGTTACTTATACCGGTTGATTAGCATAACTAACCGTAGCCAGCCTCACAAAACTTGATTAAGCCAAGCACACAAAAGTGAGTCTTTTCAGCTTAGCTTGCTTTTGGGGCGCTAGGCCAAGTTCAATTCAAACGAGCCTAGTTATAATGAAACAAGCGCCAATAAGTAGAAAAATATAATTAAATTCAAGGTCAATTATGATTGTTATAACTTAAAGAGACTAGACTCGGGGATTAGTAATAAGTATCTTCCTCAGCTTGGATTCTGTAGGCTTATCGAAATTCAACTTCAATTACTGTAACTGGAGAACTTGAGAATTTTAACTGGAGATCTGGAGGACTTATGAGAACTTGCTTAATTACATCGAAATATCATCAGACTAGTTTAATGATGTCATGGTCAACCATGCTTAGTGAGATCTTTCTATGTTTACCTTGGCGCTGCCTCATTAGCTTACTTGTGCATAATTAGCCTAATTATGCCACGCGAAACTCCACTATATCTTGTGTGTGCTTCTATATCAGACTAATTAATCCACCCTATCTGATACGCTCCCTAACATAAATAGTTAACATTAATTAGGCAGAAATGATCTCAATTGGTGAAATGTCAGTAAGGTGCAATTAGTATCTTCAGAATTTGGCGCCTCTAGGCTCATGGGGAAGTCGACTTAGATTAGCTGGCCGTGATAGGGTTTGTCCTATTTGGGCTAAGTTTGCTCGGGTAAATTAAATAATAGCATGATCAACTATATATGCTTAATTTGACTTGGCTGTGCGTGTGCTATTCTCTACCCATCTAGGCGCGTCGAAGCTTTACTACGCTTAACGCAGAAACAGCAAGCTGAACTGGGCTTAGTTTAACTTGCTTACTCTCGAATTTATTAGGTGATACCACGCTGAACTAGGCTAAATTAGGTTCGGCTACACTTAACTAGGGTCATTTAAATTCAACTTGGCTTAACGCGACAAAGGCAAGCTGAGCTGAGAAAACTTAATTTTGTGTGCTTGGCTTATCAGGTTTTGCGAGGCTGGCTACGCTTAGTTATGCTAATCAACCGGCATAAATGCCTACGCAAGCCTGGCGCTGGGACCGGCTCCATCGCAGCCGCTACGTAAGGGGAAAAAGCGGCAATATTTGATGAAGCAAATATAGCAACACCCAGTGGTCGTTTGGGCTACTATCGCGCCAAAGAGAGAAGCCAATTGATTCGACGGGACGCGCATGCGCTCTATAGCAGGCGTCTCGTCACTTAGATAACACGTCATGGTGCTCGGCCACGTGATCCCGTGGTCGCCACCCTTATGCTGTACGTGCCGTATTCGTAGGCATGTAGTACATTCACTTGGTCATTGCCATTCTTCGCGGGATCGAGTCCCAGCCGGGTTGGCGCCATTTTCAATTGAGGCGAAAATGCTTAAGGCTCGTGTACTTAGATTTAGTCGCACGTTGAAACAACCACAGGGGTTCTAAATTTCCGAAGCCCTCCCTCCACTGCGGCGTCTTTCATAATCCTATGGTGGTTTTGAGACGTTAAACCACTACAATTTATTATTATTATTATTATTATTATTATTATTATTATTATTATTATTATTATTATTATTATTATTGCCATTCTTCACTCAGAAAAGCGTCAGTCATGAGGGAGTTTTAATGCTACAAACGTAGCGCATGTAACAGCGCCAGGTTGTGTATAAAGCACGTGCGCAGAACTTGAATCATGCGCTATACACGAAATGCAGCGTGTGCAACGCTGCTACGAACGCTGCAAACGAATTGCTAAAACTCGCTGTCATCGCGTCTTCGTGCTGTTAGAGAGTTTGAGAATTGGATGCCCAAGGCACTGAGTCCCCAAGCTGCGTTGCGTAGCTTGCTCTTGCATTCGGAGGAACAGCAGAGTTTGAGAACTGGGTCAAACGCAGGCTGCATTGGGTCAAACGCACAGGGCGCCACCCGTGGCCAAATTAAAAATTACGCGAGACGCAGCATGGCCTTCGATATGGCGGGCGCGCGGCGTGTTTATCCCCGGCCGTCCCAATCCTCGCACTGCCCAGTACGGTCATTGGCCACCATATCACCATCAAAACCAACAAGTATCGCCTCGCGCGCCCGGCTACCGTGACAGGGCGCGTTCAGTGAGGGTTCCGGCGGCGGCTGAGCTTATGGCACACAGCAGAGCGCAGAGGATTCTAGCGTGTGCCTGTTTTTAAAGACGATAGTGTTTCTAGGAGACCTTCGACGCAAAAATTTTGGTCTGTTAGTATATTTGCCTGTTTGTTCACTATAACCGGCACCAACGTGGCCAAACGATACTCCAAACGGATGACCCCATCCGCAGCGTCCACCAATATGGCTCAAGATTCAGCGTTCGCACTATTGCGATTGTCAATTAAAAATCAATTATTGCGGATGTCTGGGGCATCATAACAACACGTATATATTCTGTATGTGTGTCTCTTACTAGAAAAGGCATACATAAGTAATTATAAGGGCCGTAGCGTTTATGACGTTGCGCTGACCAGGGAACGCTTGAACGAAAAGGCCAGTGTTTTCAACGGTTTGCTTAGACGACACGGTGGTGGCACCTAACCGTTGCCTTGCGTTCTACACCTTATCACCTCCGAGACGGGCGCGCAGGACGCGCGTGTTTCATTTTCCAAGATAACTGTCAGATAGCGCTCATGTATCACGTGTAACGTGACTTGATGCGCTCGTTCGCTTCCGCTGCATGCTCGAGGCACTCTAACGCAGCGTCTCCAGAATACCATTCACCAATTTTCTTGCGCAGAACATCAAATAAACGTTTTGTTCACTCTCTCCAGACGCAAGACTATCGTCTTTCGACGACATTTGCAGTGTAACGTGCAGAGACGGGGTCAATTTTTTTTTCGCCTACGAGCAAGAATCACCGCTAAGATATTCTGGCTGAACTGAAGTATTTTTTCTGTTACTGCGTTCACTTTGCTCCAATTTACAAAGAAAAGCATGTGATAGATTAGATTTGTGGGGTTTAACGTCCCCAAACCACCATGTGATTATGAGAGACGCCGTAGTGGAGGGCTCCGGAAATTTTGACCACCTGGGGTTCTTTAACGTGCACCCAAATCTGAGTACACGGGCCTACAACATTTCCGCCTCCATCGGAAATGCAGCCGCCGCAGCCGGGATTTGAACCCGCGACCTGCGGGTCAGCAGCCGAGTACCTTAGCCACTAGACCACCGCGGCGGGGCAAGAAAAGCATGTGCACTGCTGCATTTTCTTATAGGCTATTGAAGGAGGTAACACTTAGTCTGCGTCAGTATTGCTTTTTTCATTGTGTATATTTTGTCTCGGCACTATATACCTCGATTCGAGAAATATAGAGGCATTCTAGCAGTCCTCCTTTCTTGATACTTGTTTCCGGAAAACTGGGTGAAATATTCTCATTGAATAGTATCGATGTCCTATTCTGACTCATATTTTACTATTATATCGCGCACATATATTTATTAGGTGTTCATCTGAAGCACAGTTACGCTCTAGATAACTGGGTGCCCCGATCTTGTCATTGAAGTAACGTACGTGTGAAGTAATATTGCCGGAGTATTGTAAAAAAAGGCTTCGACTAGCCGACCTACATTTACTCCCAACGTCTTTCACAATGA